GTGGGAACTTCGACTCACCAGTAGTGCTCGGATCGGATTTTTGACAAACAACTTATCGAGCCAAGGCATCTGGCCCACGGGTGCCTGGTAGTCAAAGATCTTGTCCAGCCAGGCAATGATGCCGTCGACGTCTTCGCACCTGTCCACGAATCCGGCTCTTCGACTGTACGTGATCTCGGTGATGACATCAAAGGCGAAATATTGGAGCCAGTGGAGGAAATCGCACTGGACTCCAGGCTTCGCGTAGAGTTCCTGGGTCCGTTCAAGGAAAACTCCCACGGTATCGTTGACTCGGGGTTCATATTGGACGATCGAGGTCATGGAGAAGGCATTGCTGACTGTCCGTCGAAGTCGGGCATGGTAATCCTGATCTTGAGTTCCAAACAATGACTGGAGCACCTCCCCTCTCGCCAACTGCATCTGCACTGGGTAGAATGCACTCTGCTCGCCCGTCAACATGGATGGCTCGTATAGTTGATAAGTATTTCCCTACCTTCATCAACCGATTGTTCAACCCGTAAATTGACTTGAGAGCCTCCGGGCTGCTGAAAGACAGCGAGTTGGGACCGAGTCGAACAATGTGTCCATGTTGGTCATGTAGCGACCGCAGTGTGAGTTGCGACTTGCCGCGGAGAACGCTGAAGAATCTCCATGCGTCGGTGAAGTTGGCGAGGACAGGACCTGGATATTTACAAAGACCTTTGTTGCGGTAGTTCCTTACCAGCGTCGCAATCACAATCACGACCAAGACCACAGCTGCAGTTTTGGCTGTGAAATGGGGGCGCAAGGAGTCCATCATGCTTCACCGACGCGCATGGCTTGGGAGTCGAAAGACACCTTGAAATGAATGAGTCTTGGTGAATCAATCATCCATGGGTATGTCCTCCGAGAATGTAGTTGTGTGATCGAGGATGGCGGTGGATCCCGAGACGGTTGCTAGTCTATCAGAGGGTGGGATCTGGCGGGTATACGAGATTCGCCAAGAGTGGGATGAGGCTCAAAGGTGGGATGTTGGCAAGGCATTCAAGGCGACATGCAAAGATGGGATGTCCATAGCCATAGTGACCTCTCAACTGCAAGGTTGGGATACCCTCAAGGTGGATCGTGGGAGGAACATCTTGAGCGCTCACGTGAGGCGAGATCCATCGAGAGAACTGAGGCCAACAAGATCGTCCTCGAGGTGCATTCAGTCGACCATAATAATATGGGGGAGAAAGTCACCAAGATATGCCACTCGTGGTAGACACACGCCTTTTCTCCTCTGAAGTGGCGGCACATCAACGAACTCCTCATCATGGTCCGAAAGTGCTCGCGCGTAGCCGTCATTGGCGCTGGGCCAGCCGGTGCAATCGCCACAGATGCTCTGGTCAAGGAGCAGACGTTCGACACAATTCGCGTGTTTGAGCGAAACGCGATCGCTGGGGGCACTTGGTAGGTTTCCCCCTCCGCTTCCTCTACCTGATTCCACATTGATCAAGACATATGTCAGGGTGTACACTGCAGACCATTCGCCCAAGATACCTTCTCTTCGCAAACTCCTGAAGCACCAGGCCGATCTGCCCGTGCTCACCCCTGCTAGATTTCCATCCGAAACTGAAAAGACTGAAGCAATCAACTCGCCCCAACTGCGGTATTCTGATACAGGCATCCATGAAAATCTGCACAGCAATCTCCCACCTCAGACAATGTGCTTTACGCAGGAGCCGATTCCGGAAATTCTCTCGGAGCGAACGCTGGCGCACTATGGCAGCAATGCTCCGTTCCGTCACCGAGAAGTCATTCGCGGTTGGGTAGAAGATATTTTCGTCCGCGGTGGAATGCAGCATCTCATCGAGTTCAATACGACCGTTGAACGGGCACAAAAGGAGGGAGACGAGTGGGTGTTGACTTTGCGGAGTGCACCGCCAGGATCGAAGATGAACTATTGGTGGCAAGAGGCGTTCGACGCCCTGGTCGTTGCGACAGGTCACTTTTCGCTACCCTATGTGCCTGATATTGCTGGATTGGCAGATTATGACGAGCGATACCCGGGGAGAATCCAACATAGCAAGCACTTCCGGTCTGTGGAGCAGTTCAGGGGAAAGGTAAGATAGTCATCTACACTTCCTGGTGCTCGAACGGTTGGATCTTCACCTTGACGCACACAAACTATGAGGCGCAGCTAACCAACGTGTTCATTCGGCAGAAAGTCATCATCGTAGGCGGCTCGGTCTCAGCATTTGATGCGCTCCATGAGATTCGAGTAGTGGCACAACATCCCGTCATCGCCTCGCTCAAGAAGCCGCTACCGGCGTTCGGATGGGGTGCGTTCAAACACCCCCACGTTTCCATCAAGCCGCCAATTGCCAAATTTCATCCAGAAGGGAGGATCGATTTTGAAGATGGTTCATATGTCGACCACGTCGACGTGGTGCTTTTCGCCACGGGCTATGACTTCAGTTTCCCATTTCTGCCACATATCAATCGGAGAATCCAAGGCCGGAGGATCCAGAAACTTTATCAACATGTATTTGATACGGAGGATCCCACTCTGGCATTTATTGGAATGGTAAGCTTCACGGTTGCTCCCAATCCCATTTCATGCCAGTAATGTGATGTTGATGATGATGATGATGATGATGACGACGGACTAATCTGTGCATCGGGTCAGGTATCGGGAGGTCTGACCTTCAGGGTATACGAATGGCAGGCCGTCGCCGTAGCTCGCCTGTTGGCAGGACGTGCCAGACTACCGAGGCGACACCTGATGCGAAAATGGGAGCATGACCGGCTCGCCAAGTGTGGAGATGGAATCCCATTTTTTGACCTGTCCTCCGACTTTGAAGAATATTTTGAGGGCCTCAGGGGATTTGCGGGGGAACCTGCAGTTGGATCCAACGGCAGAAGACTGCCTAGGTATGACCCAAAGTGGAAAGATTTGTTCGTCGAGGTGGTGGTGAAGGCGAGACTGCGATGGTGGGAACAGGAGAGGCGCAAGGCTGACGAAGAGATACGCGAGGCCCAGACACACAGACCAAAGGCGGGTGGGAATAGTTCAAGGGATTTAGTCAGAGCATTGCTGTAGAGAGTTTCGACCATGTTGCTCTCGTGAGTATGAACTACCTATGAACTACCGAGAAGTCTTGATCCATAATGTACCTTGATCGTTGCCTTGCTAAAGCTGCGATACTTGCCGGAGGCCATAGAGCGCTCTGTCATCACCGCATGATCCATGATAACCATATCCTCCATCAGGATCTACCCAAGAACTGCTTGAAACTCCGGACTGAACTTGTAGTCAGTATATCCTTCTGGGGAGAGGACTTCGTAGAAGGTGTGCCGGTTGTATTTGGTGAACGGGATGCCCTCCTTGACTCGGAAGGGCAGATCTGGATTCGATATAAATTGGCGGCCAAAGGCAACCAAAACGTCTTTGCCTCGATACTTGCCATCCACAACCTGGAGGGCACTTTCGGCCGTGTAGCCGCCGGCAACAATGACCGGACTGGTGTTATTCCACGCGTCGACAAAGACATCGATCGAGTCTCGAAGATCAGCGTCTGCATTTCCTGCGACTCTGGCCTCGATGATATGCAGGTAGGCCAGTTGGAGTTTCTGGAGCTCCTGTAAGAGATATGTAAACTGCGGAATAGGATTGTCCATACCCATCCCGTGATGCTTGCACCAGGGGCTTATTCGAAAGCCAACCCTGTCGGCACCAACGGCTTCCGTGACTGCTTTGCTGACCTCAATTGCGAACCGGGCTCTGTTCTCAATGTTGCCTCCCCACGCGTCGGTGCGGCGGTTACACGTGTCCTGGGTGAACTGGTCCACCAAGTAGCCATTCGCACCGTGGATCTCCACACCATCAAACCCGGCTGCGATGGCGTTGAGAGCTGCTTGACGGAAATCGTTGACACAGGCCCAGATTTCATCTTCTTCCAGAGCGCGAGGCACCGCGGATTCCGGACTCCATGGAATATCGCTGCTGGAAATCACTTCGGCGCCGGCAGCGACGGCCGCAGGTCTGGCGGCTCGTCCGGTTATCCAGAGCTGTGCGAAAATGTACGAGCCTTTGGCGTGTACGGCTTCGACAACCGTCTGCCATTTACTCATCTGGTTGTCGTTGTAAATCCCCGTCGTGTTCTGCCAGACACTTGCGCGATGAGATGTTGCCACCGCCTCCGAAATCAGAAGTGTTCCCGGTACCGACGCTCGTTGGGCGTAGTAGTCAACCATGAGTTCACTCGGTACATAGTCGTCGTGCGCCCTTCGCCGCGTCATTGGTGCCATGGCAATTCGGTGTTGTAGTAGGCAGGACCCTACCTGCACAGGTGTGAACAATCGCGACATGGCTGTTCAGGATGGGCGTTCTCTCACAAGACTGAGGTCGTGAGTGATGTATTTTTTTTTCCTTTTCCCTGAACAGCCCACCCCAAACATGTCGACGTGGCAGGTATACAAATGCCGAAGCGTGACATTGCCCGGTTCGCCTCCCAGTCAGGGGCAACATGACATGGATGGGCGGTGTTCTGCATGGCCCATCCTCATGCACGCGACTCTTGACGCTTGTGGCGAGAGTGGGGGTTTTCGATCACAGCTCTGTCTCTGTTTGAGACATTTTTGGAGACTACGAGGAACACCGACAGTGTGGTATCTCTGACAAAAGTGGGAGGCTGCTGGTAGGAAAGTGGGAGGGGTTCCACTATTTATCTCCTCACCATTCCAACGTCGGTACTTGTATAGCTTATTATCACTCGCCTTGACCTGTACTGCCACGCATAGAAAATCGTCATCAGAACGTGGGATCAAATGATCCACAGAGTTTGGTAGGTTGAAGGATTTTAGGCTATGAAGCCGTGGCGCAATGCGAGCTACTTCGTCATGGAAGCGGGCAGTTACGATATACGACCACTAATATTGTTCGCTTACGACTCTGTATTGTCGCAGATGTAAATTTCGTTCAAGATGATGATCTATGCACTGAACTGTCCCTCACGAAGAGGCGAATATGGGGCCATTCAATGGCAGTCAATCCCAAGTCCCTGCCAGACAATTTGTTCGCACGACTTCAAGAACCGCAAAACCTCACCTCCCTCATGCCAGGCGTCATTGTAGGCAGCACTCAACGTCAGTTGTCCTTTCCAGCTCCCAAGGAATAAGCCTAAGCCTGACCTCAGCTCTTCTCCTGTTACCCATGGGTCATGCAGCTTGAATTCCCCGTGCTCTGGTGCAATGATATCGTCAATGCGTCCCATGCTGGAAATGGACACTGTGGGCGACGGATCGGGCGGTGGTACTTTGAAGACTTCTCTGGAAAGCAGCGCCGACTCTGGCAAACGAGGGACTCCAGACTTCCAGTACGTTGGCACTCGAGAAAGATGTTCTTTGTCGTCGCGGATCGAGAGGTAGAAATCTCTTACCCCTGCGACAACCTCAGTGAACTCGTTCCTTCTCTTGGTGGATGCACGACCACCTTCCTTGCTAGGAGGCACCTCTAGGTCCACTACGAGACTCCTTCCTGAGCTTGAGTGAATCACGGATACCGGATGTGTCGGAGTATTGTAAGGCGCCGTACAATGTTTGCGAAGATTAATGAGACAGTAACTAATGTATCTTACTCGTCTGTTCTCGTGCCTCTTTTCTTGCAAGTCTCGCAGCGCCATAGCAATAGCGGCATGATACGCATGTGTGACGGTTATATTTCTTTCCTTGCAAGCGAGGAGCAGGCTCTGCGTATCCTGACGGGAGTATGTTAGGGCCACGCGCTTGTGAACTCCGGGAAGCTCGGCTCCAACTTTGAAAGGGAGGCAAGCAATCTCGACACCATGGCGCAACTGAGCATTCTCTGCCAGAATCTGTTCGAGTCGCTGTTGCTGTTCTGCCGACAAAGATGGTGGAATCAACGCCGCCACACGTAAGGGTGGGGTGAGATTATCGACCTCGGTTCCAAACGCTGGAATTTGATAAGATGACTGTTGATTATACGCTCGAGATGCAAGGATGAAGAGATTGTCGAGCAATTGAAGGGTCCCTATTCCATCGATGATTTCGTGAGGAGAGCGGAAGACGATATCACGGTAAATCGTCCCGTCTTTGCTTTCGTGATTGTCTGATTTGATGACAAAAAGTGTGGGAAGTTTGGGGGCAGGGGGATCCGAGTTGGCCCATTCAATTCCAGTCCCGGAGGTAGAGATCTTGTGGAAAGTAGACTCAAGCCATGCTTGCTGGTCGCTCTCTTCCTCACAAGCCTCATACACCTTTCGAAATTTCTCGCTTGCGCCATCGTATTCGACCCAGGACGCGATGTTGGGGTGATTGTATCGCAGATGTAGCCAAGCATTGCGGAGCGCCTGTTCCACACGCTGTTCAGCTTTCTCGAGTTTGATATCGTTTCCCACGTCTACTGACAACGAGATGAACCCGGTCATGGCAAAAAACATACGGCCGCTGCCCTCATAAACCCTGGAAATGACATGGTAGAACTCTTCAGCCTCGTCGATATCGCGTTCCCATCGGGTCCTCGTGGTCTTCGCCCAGGTCAAGTTTCGATAAACTTCAGAAGCCATTTGCGCTGGTGTGTTGCTTCGCAACTTTGGTCGTTGACTTTCTATCGCTTTGGAGTGATTGATAACAGTGCTGGCAAAATGGTGTTACAGTAGGGAATGGATACGGCTGGGGGAACTGTGGGGCGGTAATTCTTCGGAACATAGGACTTTCTAGCCACTGCTAGCCTCACAAATCAGACCTCTGACCTCTCATGTAAAAGCAATCAACCCGACGTTTAACCGTTTTCCGATAGTCGGGCCGCAAACCCCTTTCCATCCCGGAACGACCTTGGTACTGTAGCCGCCACCCCCAGCAAACCCCTGTAACCTGACCTTTTTGTACACAAAGTTTTGCGTGTCACAGCTTCACCAGAAGTCATGGCGGGGAAGAAGATGCAGGGATTACCTGTTGTCCAAGGGACTCCAACCCAAATTTAGAAAAGGGAGAAGTAAAGCAAGCGTGGATTGCGGTGAGTTCCGGAATTCTCCAAAGGGCAGGGACAGCAGTAGGTCTTTCAAAATGAGAAACCACTTTTGCACAAAGCCCCGCGATTCTGAATCATTGTTTCTTTCCTCAAATACAACTCCCAGCCAGAGATTGTGTTGTTGGTGTTGACCAATTTTCACGTTTGGTAAATTTCAAACGGTCCCAGGCTGGCTTCACATCAATACTGCTGCCATGACATTCACAGAGTCGACAGCCGCTGCTATCATCCCTACCAATGTCAACACTGCTCCTCGTCCTGAGGCCTATCAAGCAACACCCGATGTCGAACTTTTATCTCTCTCAAACGTTGATTCTGCTCCAAAGAAGACAGGAAAGATAGAGTTCCGATGTACTGGCGAGTCCTCCCCTGACAATCGAGAGCGGCATGTACGACATGGATGCTTGGAACGAAGCACAATACTCAAGCTCACGAGCGCGGCATTTTCATTCTTCTTCTCTGGCGCCAGTGATGGCTGTCTGGGGGCGTTGATTCCGTACATACTGAGGACCTATGATATTTCCATGGATGCAATTGCGATCATGTGAGTAAAATCCTGAGCGATGATTGACTCGAATTTACGGCTTTTTGTATTCAAAATCACATCAGCATTCTTTGCTAACGCAGCGTATTGCACAGCTACGCTGTTACGTTCCTTGGCTGGCTTGTTGCCGCAGCCTCGAACAGCCATCTACTTCAAAGGGTCGGGTTCGGCGCCATACTTGCAATTGGCGCATCATTGCAGCTTCTGGCGCATATCCTTCGCTTCTGGACACCTCCGTTTGGTTTGTTCGCCGCCACATACTTTCTCCAAGCGCTAGGAACAGCATACCAAGATTCGCACTCGAATACATTCGTCTCCTCTGTCAAAGGAGCTCATCGATGGCTGGGTTTTATCCATGCCATGTATTCGCTTGGGTGTCTCGTCTCACCGTTCGTTGCAACCGCTGTTGCTTCCCACGTCCCGTTGAAATGGGCTTACTTCTTCATTTTCCTGCTTGGACTCGGCGTGCTCAATCTCTTGGCAGTACTTTACGTCTTTTCGGACTCTCTACGTCTACTACCGAGAGAGCAGGAGCGAGAGCAGGAGGACGACGCTTCCAGCCACGGGAAAGATGCGACCCAGAAGATCAAAGAGACGCTGCAAACGAGGGGGGTATGGCTGTTGAGTATATTTTTTTTCTTTGCTCTGGGAGCTGGCCTTACGGCTTCGGGATGGATCGTGGAGTTCCTCGTCAAAGTGCGTCACGGCAATCTTGCGCAAATGGGCTATGTTCCGGCTGGGCAAGCGGGTGGTGTATTTTTGGGTCGATTGCTTCTTGCAGAGCCAACGTTTCAATTTGGCGAGAGACGCATGCTCTTCTTGTATAGCGTTCTCATGCTCGCGATGCAGTTGATATTCTGGCTTGTGCCGAATCTTGTCGTCGACATTGTCGCCATTTCAATCTTTGGTTTCTTCTTTGGTCCGCTCTTCGCCGCGGTACGTCCTCCTCTTCACTGATCCCTTTGGGGGCACCCAGTAACAATCTCTCGCTAGGGTATTTCTGTCGCCTCAAGGTTGTTCCCCAGACGCATCCGGCCAACGGCACTTGGTGAGTCCGACCACGTCCAGACTTCAATTTCGTCACCACCCGCATTTGGGCTAAACACCTTCAGGGTTCATCTTTACCACTGCTCAAGCGGGGGGTTCAATATTCCCAGCAATAACGGGCATTGTCGCGACTCGGGCAGGTGTCAAAGTAATGCAGCCTATCGTTGTCGGCTTGGTGGTCGCCGTGGGTGTCACATGGTTGTTTGTGCCTGAAATCAAGCGCCGAGAGGATTAGATAAGGGCTGTGAACGATAGTGAGGACCTCGACGTAAAGTATTGGCCGCGCTGTCAAGTCACCCGTGCGTAAGGTCGATCCGTGATGAGGGCATGTAGGGAAACCTGAGATGGATGAAGGGTGGCAGTGACAGTACGTTCTGGAACATGGAAGGAGTGAATGTGGAAGACGGAATGTGCGCATGTGACAAGGTCCTTCTCACTGTGTCACCCTTCCCGTAACTTCACAGTGAGGACCTCACGTCCTCTGCCTTCCAGGACTTAAAGCTCTTTGAATCACCAACACGGCTATCATTCCTAGTAGTATCTGCAACGATCCATCGTGGATTGATTCCATCAACTCATTCATACAATGGCATCCGGCTCAGAATCCACCTTACCACCCCCTTTCGCCAGGTCATGGGAGAGTATCATGCCGTGGGAAATCCGGACCCAGATATTCAGCGAGTGCATCAAGAACCGCTCCGTCAGCCTCTTGTACGCCAACAAGCAGCATTATACCGCGTTCCGCCCTCTTCTCTACGAAAATTTCGTTCTCTCCTTCGTCATCGACCCATCCGCAACCGACTCCCTGGTGGACATACTCGGCCAAAACGGCCGCGTGGTCTGTGCCGCCTCCCCACACCCTGACTACGTCAGCATCGTCGAATACATGCCGACCGACCTCTTTCAGAGGATCGAGATCTTCATCGACGCACCAGATCCAGATGATCCGGGCCAACTGGTCAGGGCTTGGAAGCAGACCACGGGGTTGTTGGCGGCGTTGTTGCCCAGATGGAAAACCGCAGAGGCACCCATGACTATGACAAATATTCAAGTACCCAGAGGTCGTCGTAGCAAGACTGCTCTTCTTCCACCCATGATCGTCCAATTCCGGGGAAAGGAGGGACAAGACAAGAAATGGACTTCCTTTCAGCCTTCTCTTGAGCGACGGGTTTGGAACCACAGCGTTCCAAGCTTCGGGTACTGGGACCCGGAGATGGAAACGACGCCGATCAAACACGGTGGGATTCATTCCGATCTTGGAATCATCATGACAGCTTTTCTCCGAGTCCGGGGTGTTGCGTCACTCAGTTTTGACTTCCCCGGTGAAGTCGATGCACCCCCGAAAGACGTCGCTTCCTTGATGAGAGAAGTGGACCGACTCACTGCGGAGGGGAAGCCTTTTGGCCTGTACGGTCAACAAGACGATGACGATTACATGATTGGCATCGCAGAGGACAATTTCCACCTCTGGCTGGATTATCTTCTCGATGACATGCAAGGCCCCAGTGCCGCACTCGTCCGCGGCGACAGAGCCGAAACCTGGTGCTCTGAGTACGACTTTCTGATGAAGGAGAGACTGTACAATTGCTCACTCGGCAACATTCTGAAACATCACCTGGAGAAGCAATATACCGACCGATGTGTAGCCAGGATCCTCCTAACAACGGCAATCCATGTCTCTTGCTCGCGAGGACTCGGTCAATACAGAGGAGAAGAACAGTCGCAGCGCATGGCGGCGACAAAGCAAAGACACTGGAGCTTTTGGACCCGGCATTTTCCCCGTGGCATCGCGTGCAAATCGGATAACGAATTGTGGCCTATGGATGTGTCGACGAGGACGCGGAGGAGTTGGCTCGCAGGCGGCACCAACATCACTTGTACCCATTGGTCACAGCCCGTATTGGGGCGTCCCCCTGTTTACCTCTGCCCGGTCTGCGGCGACCAGGATGCTCAAGAGTATGACGAGTACAATATTGCAGACGTGTACGAAGAGGAGCAAGATCTTTTGGTCGAGTACCTGGAAGCAAGCCCACTCATGCCGCCAAGGTTTGAGGAAATGTGACTCAGACTACTCCTTCTGATGATCGGGAAGTGTTTTGGATTCCCATGACACCTTATGTCTGTAGCACTTGCCTTCCTACAGCTATCACATAGCTAGATAGGTGCCTTGGGCACTTCGATAGAACTTAGACAGACAATCCATCGCACACCAGCCTTTACAGGAAGGGTCCCAGGGAGCGAGATCTCCGGCAGCTGAGGCCCACATATCTCATTTCCATGCAATTGCTCTCGAGGTTGTTAGTTTGACTTTGACTGCTCGGCGGACACCCTCGTGCTTTTATCGGCGACAGGAGCCCCCGAGGCCTTGCACTTGTAGAAATTTAGGATTTCAACCCATTTCTGGGCGTCCTTTTGCTGAGACGCACCCACACTTTCAGAGGCGCTCCCTATTCAGCACTCAGACTTTTCTACCGTCGCTTGAGCTTCAGAGATTCTACTGTTGGCACCTGCTCACAGGCTGTCTTTTTGTTTGTCCGCAGCTTCTTTCTTTCCGCGAGTTTTTCTTGTCCGGTCGTATACGACGCCATTACTCTTTCCTAGCTCCATCAACAGCCTTATCTCTACACCTTTCCCTACAATTCTTGCACATCTACATCACCACAATGGGTTCAACAGGCCACGAGATCTTCCCCGTATCTCTTTAGAGAAACCCGGCCCCCGTCGACACACCATTCACTCTTCGCTCGCTATAAACACTTGACGAGAAGATAGATGAGGGGCACCTGAAGATGTACGCCAGTTGCAACAATTCCATTCTCATGCGGGCTTGACCGACCTCAAAGCCAGGTCGGATCCTGGGGAATTGGAAATGAAGATCTCTCCCGAGACATTGAGAGTCTGGAGACAATTCTCCCAAAAAACCCTCAGCCACCTGGCGGCAAGGCCGTGGCCGTTCGTGGCCTTTACGGAGCCGACCTCACAACCTCCCAAAGAACGGCACGCCTGGCACAATTCGTCTCCACCGGCTTGGTGGACGGCCCTATCGATGCTGTTGGCGAAATGACTCCCTGATAGTTCCGTATTGGCAGCGGTAATCAGCCCATCGATAGAGAGCTGGACCACGTTTCCCCGTATTGCGTAAATCTTTTTATTTAGGTGTTGACTCGGTTCCGGCTGCTCGTGAGCCCTGATCTCATTAAATTGACCGTCTGGCAGGCTTGATTGCTCTGACGCCGCGGACGGGCGGAAACTTGGCGAGGACAATGTAGAGGGAAGGACATCTTCAAGAGAGTCAACAAGTAGTTTATGTCCGAAGTCGGCATTATAACCAAATCAAAGTGAGCCATGTTGAGTGCCGGGTTCACGCCTGAGGAAGTGACCTCACTTGAGAGAGAAAGATACTATTGAAAAGACGCGCCTGCCGGTTTCATGTCTCTGATCCGCGTACACTAATAATAGTGCTGCCTGGCCCAGAAATGGTAAAATGTAAACATAGGGGTCCTCAGCCTTAAATGACGTTTGGTCAGACCAACTCAGTAGTGTGGCGTCATGTCTACATAGGAGCAGTATATGGGTATGTAACCAGAGGCCTTCCGGACCATAAAATTCAATGGGTGCTTTCTTATGCACAGCGTGTCTGGACAGCTATCTCTTGTGACCGAAGAGACCTTCGCATCCAACTCAAACAGTAATATCGTAGACTGGCGGCCACCCATCTCATCCAGCGTGGTTTTTGATACCTCAGGTATTGAAATGGGGCGAGGCTCTTAGCCAGAGGCATCGACTCGTACGGCGGTGGGCATGGTGTTGGCAGTAACGACTATCGCACAGTAACAATAAAGTAGCATCGAAGATCCTGCTCAGATAGATTCCATCGAAAGGTATTATGATAATACTAGTATTAGCGCATATCATAAGTTATCGAAAGTATCATAATACTTCAGTAGAAGCGTTTGGGGGCCAAAACTAACAGAAGGCCGAGTAAAGGGTTGGGGCGGAAATTTGAGAGCGCCTTTACGCTAGACTAGATGTAGATAGACTAGGCTAGATATAACTACGCTAGTCTGGATAATTAATACTATCCAATTCATACTAGTATTGTATCAGGGCTTATCGATACAGTATCAAAACCACTCTGATCTCATCAGCTACGTCACCTGGTTCTGGAGGAAGGATTCGATGCGTCGTTGGGTTCAAGCTCCCATGCCTGTCAGGAAACGAGGTAACCCCCGAGGCCGGCGATCCAGACTGAGAAGGTGGCTTCGTTTCCTGACGGGTATGGGAGCCTGAAGCTGAGAGTCTCGGTGTCGAGGAAGTAGTGAAAGAAGAGGCAGAGAGGCAGAGAGCCAAGTTATTTATGATGACGGCACACCACAGGATTATTATCTAGTGAATACCAGGGGGAGGGCTCGGCAGGGCCGTGACACTACAAAGTATTCGCTTGGTAGTCTTTTCTAAAGCCAAGCTTTCCTGGCCACGCCGATCCAGAGAAGACTTCCTTCCGGCGAAATGTACGCCCTCCCTGACGAGGGTACTCCGTGACCCGAATCTCTGCTGCGCAGTTAGTTGTGCGAGGATTCTGGAGATTGCGGGGGGGCGTGTGAAGCGCAAAATCCTGATAACGTCGTGGACGACATCAACGATGAGAATGCCGCTCAGGTTGGGGGCCACGAAAGTACGGACCTGCATGCATAGTAGCGTGTGTTGTGGCTCTACGACTATAAAGCTGTCAGGATAACTCTGTGGAGTTGATCACAGCACAACGTTCAGAGGATCTCCCCAAAGCTGAGAAAAAGGGGGGGGGGGGGGGGGGGTTGGGAGGGCACCCGGCAATTACACATACATGTATACCAAGTATATACCGCTCACTGCCTACCTAGGTACCGCCAGTACTGTCCACTCATGTTTGGGTAACCACGGCGTCCCAACAGCCACTCAATGAGATATGTCTAAATTCTGCATGGTTCCCGCCAGCCCTATTGATGGTGCGAGACGACAAATGATGAATGAGTCAGGCACTAGCCCATAACAACGGAGAAACGGAGGTTGGTTGTCACAATGGCAGGGTCTGTCCTGCCCACAGAATCCTCGAACTTCCACGTTGTTCTGAAGAGTCAGAACGAGAGAGAGAAGAGTCTGTGACTCGAGTGACTAGAATAAAGAAGGGCGGACAGATTTCATCCTGCAGGATTCGCCAGCGCTATTTGTCACCTCCGGCTTAGACCAGCTCTTCCTGGCCTTTAGCTGCGACGACTTCGATCTGTTCCATCACCACACCTTCAGTCTTTTCCTTCTCCACAAGACCCCTGCCGTCCAGGGTCATGTGCAAAACGACCTCGTCGCCAAACAATGTCCCCATTTCCTCGACGGGGAGTCCGCGTGTTTCCGGAACGAAAAAGTAGACGACGACTTCGCAGACGATGCAAAAGGCCATGAAGATCAGATACATTCGCCAGGTTCTGCACACAATACGTAAAAGACAAGGTTAGTCAGCGAAATGGATGCCAAATAAAATTCGTGGGGCGCAAACAGCAAGTTGATAGGTGTGTGTAGGTAGCAGATAGCAAGGGATGGGTGATTTTGGGGTCTTATTGACTTACATGTTGCGAAACGCAAGCGGACCTGGCGTGGAAAAGGTGATGAATCCGACAAAATAGGCAAACATGCTCAAGCCGATGCCCTTTGCTCGAATCGTCGTGGGGAATATCTCGGCGCACCAGACGAAAGATGGCGCATCGATGAACTGAAACAGCACAATGAAGAGGAAAATGCAGGCCACCGCGGCGCCGTTGCCTGCTTGGTTTGCCGTTCCTAGATATTCCCGTTGGAGCACAGCTTCGATCAGGAGATTGACGGCCAGGGCAGGAAAGCCGATCACTAAAAGTTGGAAAAGAAGGGTTAGGTTATCACACTGACCTTAACGATCGGGGGGAGCAACAGGGTGAAAAGCTCCAAACCTACAGAAAAGTCTCCTCCGTCCGAACTTGTCCATGGTGAAACAGGCCACAAAGGCAGCTATGGTACCAACAATAGCATAAATGGCTGGGTGCCGTAACCTCTTATTAGCCTTTTGTCGAAGGGATTGTGAATCATCTCCATGCGGCAAACTCACCATAAACCAGTAACGGCATGACACCTTCGAGGCCCAGCGTCCCAAAGATGCGGACCAAATAGTTTGCAATGCCATTGACCTGGGAAAGATCAGCCAGGCCGAAAACAAACACTTATCATACCGCCGGGCAACTTACACCAGTCGCTTGAGATGCAAACCTACCGCAAACCCGTCAGTTTCTTATACAGACAATGAGGAGATCATTGAACAAATTTCGGCTCACATGATAAAGAGCACGAGAAGCGAGCGTTTCCGCCAACTCGGCTTCGTGAACATGCGGACATAGCCCGATTTCTGCTCCTTGTCCTTTTCCACCTGTGCGCGGATCTGGATGAATTCCGCCTGGGCACTAGAATCTGTCGGGTCGTCGGGGTCGCGATGGAGACGTTGAATGACTTGGAGCGCCTCTTCGTGACGGCCTCTCCAGCACAGGTACCGAGGAGATTCTTTATCCTTGTGTGTCAGATACACGTTTCAGGAACAGAGACAGATACCAAAACTGACCTGGAACGAAATATATTCCGACGAGGAGTCCGAGCGGACCGACGCAGGCGAGGGCAAGCGGTAACCGCCATTGCAAGGTCGCGTTCTCTGCGTAGTAGGTTGCCACCGACACCCAGGCGACACTAGAACATGTCAATGACGTGTGCGAAGGCCAGAAGGATGCAAAGCGTACGCGACATATCCGATCCCAAACCCCATGACCGTCATGCCAGACATGAGTCCACGACAATGGGGTGGGGACACCTCCGTGAGGTATAATGGGACGAGACATATCAACATGCCGAGACCAAATCCGTGTAGGATTCTAATTGTGATGAGCATTGCCAAGTATGGAGACCCGGCAGTCCATCCGGCGCCAATCAATGAGAACAAGGCAGACACTACAAGTGCCCTTTTGCGTCCAATCCAATCAGCCAGCCAGCCTTGAAAGAGAGAACCAAAGGCAGCTCCGGCCGCAAAGAGGGCGTTGACGGCGCCCAAGACGCTGGAAGATCGGGTGGGTCAGGACCTTTTCCTTGGAGGAGGGTAGTCAAGCTCACTTTGCTGTATACTTGCTCGTCGCTGTGATATCTATTAGCATCATAGCATAACCTCGAAACCCCCTGGACACTTACGATCGAGGTTGAAGTCCTTGTAGAAGCCAGGTTGGCCGATGCTGGTGATGAACACTCCAAAGCCATACCCGTACCCAAACGTGCCAATGGCAACGATCATGCCGATGACAATGTTATACACTGTAAGTCTCGCCATTTTGTACTGGAGCAAGCGTGACAAGAAGCTGAAAGCTCAATAGCGAAGTCGTTGATTCTCTCCATGATGTGCCATCGTTCACTTCTTCTAATACAATCTCCACACAGCAGAAGTAAGCGCACAATAACCGGACACCGAGGCAGCTTCAGCTATGAGTACTTCAGCTAGTCTAGCTTCAGAAACTATAAGAGGCTGGTATCCGAAGCTGCCCCGTGGGGAATCCAAAGTATCGTGTTGGCGTGAAAGCTGGGTGTGAGGAAGACGAGCGGTAATAGAGCGGTCAAAGCAGAACTCTGACAGTTCACCGGGTGCTGGCGATGGGCAGGAATAACCGTTTGGTCGAGCGTGTGTGCAGCCAGTGGTGACGAGGCATCCTATGGTGAACCATATTCTGACAAAATCAGGTGGCGTGAACAGTGGGGCATTAGCGATGTCTTAGCAACGGCTCTTCCTCCTATTGGACACAGAAGCCAAGTCAGGTACATGGTGAAAACACCGTGCCACGTTACTGGAACAGATATCCCCACTTTGCAGAGAATTCACGACCGATAGCCCAAGATTCTGGATCCCAGGTCGCGCGGCGGACCTCGTGTCGAAGAATCAGGCTGGCCATCCCAAACAAGTCCCTAACAAAGTCGTCCAGATCAATCAGCCCACCAAGTAAAATCATGTTGTCTCGCAACCGAGGGAAAGGGAACCGATCAATCCAGCGTCGATGGGGTACAGCCAGCTGCAGTGGGGATGGCCGCAGGGATTCAGGAAGGGTCAGATATTCTGGCGGTGACTTTACTTCTTGGTGAGATCCTTCGCATACTGTGCCTTGCATGAGGCCATGCTGACCTAGGGCTGAGTAGATGGCCCAAGCCGGCCAACAGAGGAAATAATGGTCTGTGGGCACTCCATAGAGCGATTGTTGCATCAAACGAGGACTGACAACGGACAAGGTTGAATGCGAAAGCTCGAGTGCGTGTATCCGTGGTGATGGACCGGGCACTACTTCTTTGCCGGGAGCTGTCTGGTTGATAGACTCGGTCCGTCGGAGCTGACTAGTTTCCCTGTGGTGAGAGGGTGTGCTGCTGTCACTGACGGCTTCGGCTTCTTTAACCACCCGCGAGAGGAGGCGATTTCCTAGTGGCCCGTCATTAGCTCCTCGTTTGAACAACTATATGCCGTCTGTCCAGTGCCCCAGAGCTTCAGTGGACAGGAACGAGGAGGATCAAGAAAGCGACAACTCACGTCTCGCTCGCTGTGCCAATCTATCTTGTATCCGCTTCCTCTCCCTGGCATCCTCGACCCCGATCCAGTTATCGGCCTTCGCCTCAGTTCTAGGCCTTCCTCTTTTCCGATTCTCAGCCATACGTGGGGCTGTCGAGCTTCGGCAAAGTGCTTCACCTCCAGGGTAATTCCAATAGCAAGTGTGCCGGCTTTGTGCTGAAGGCTGATTCTGAGGAGTTGCTGCTTGCTCGAGCCTTGCTAGATGATGCGGAGTGAGTCTAGTTTCTGACAAATTTTATACCTCACGGAGATGCCTATTGCCGAGGGCAAAGCAGCCCCTGCAGTATAGCATGATGTTCTCTGTCAAACCCGCCGCGTCTTGCCCCGCATTGAAGGGCAGAAGGGGCATTTCCGTCAGAGCCAAGGTCGGCTATTCCTTGTCATTCTGATTCGTCGTAATAACCGGGTTGATGCAGTTGGCTAGCATTTTCGTCCCAGTCTTGTCAACAGACATCGTATTTCTAAATTCTGACAAAATCGGGGATCCGCTTCTTTGACCGCCTGGGTCTCGTATATGCTGTCCCAACACGAACACTTCGCTGAGTGCCACAATTGAAATGCCGAAGAATTTGCGCTGATGCAATTTTGGCTGTGACGATGTTGTAGGTCGACGCAGCTTGGAGCACTATTCAACGTAAGAGTGGAGAACCTCATCCTACCTCGTCAACTGGTTTCTCCATGAGAAAATCACAGGCTTCATCCCAAAAGTTATGACACAAGTCTCCGAGGTCATATTCTAGAGGCAGGAATTTCTGCGATACGCTTTTGACGTATGGCCACGAATCCTTGTCGATGGCCATGGATGAGTCTCGCAGTTTGAGAGCAAAGCTCGAAACGCGTGGACTCTGGCGTGCAGCAAGTCCGCCCACGATTGTTGCCCACAAGAGGAATTCATGGTGTGTCTGCCAATGTTGACAAAGAGCACATTCTTCCAGAGCTTGCAGGAGGAGTTTCGTCACCCTTTCGTGGAAATCACCAATGATCGGTAATGTCCAGGCGAACTCTGCCAGCTTTCGCACCTACGAGTCAGCATTGACCCTCATAACCGAGACCGGGAGGAACTCACAAAAATAATAAAAGACAGACGGGCGACTTCCAATAAACAATCTCCTTCTGATCGAAGTCGCAAGGCCTCGTGCTGTATAGCGCGACGAGCGTGGACCATGAGCATGAAGTCTGGACTTCTGCGGGAATCGCGAAGGCAGAGGGAGAATGTCTCGAGAAGGACTCGGACTTGACGAATGATGTGATGTAACCGAGGACCGCCGCGGAGAGCATCCAGAAAGACAAAACCGTCTTGATAGGTCGCGAATCGAGATTCCACCACATCATCCCATGTCTCTCGTAGTGAGGCCACGAGGTATGATGCTGGATAAAAGGGGGGAAAGACCGGTTTGGTCAGGGTCCTTAGAGAATGAAAGGTGTCGACCCTGAAGTGGTAAGCTTTTTAGCCTGGAGGGGGTATATCCTTTGGGACTCACTTACATTGATATCATGTTGCTCAGGCCGTGTAGTGTCAAATTCTTCAAGCCTCCCTTTTGATTGACGAGCGTCCTCAGAGCGTGCAAATGAGCCCGTTCGAATTCCAAACTGGAATAGAATTCATTGTCTCGGTACAGGGGAGCGGCGAACCGGGGCTGCTTCCGCGTACGGACGGAGCCATGAATTGCCAAAAGAGTTATGGTCCAGAGCACTTCGTCCGACGCAACCCCTTCGTTGTCCTCTATGGCTCGTCGAAGATGTTTCAGAGCTTCTTGTTTTGACTGAAGTTGAAGCATCTCATTGTGGGGTGTTGTGCCGTCGAAATAAGATCTGTAGCATTCGCCTGCATATATTGTCGCAAAGAGGCAATGTGGAGCCAGCAGCGAAGTACGAATGGCGGTTACTCGAATCTCTGTAATCGCGGCATCGTGCGTGGCCAAGGCGAAGGCCGGCCATTGGTGGATCAAGGCTTCAACAATGTCTCAGTCACAATTCCTCCGGCGTTGACACATAGTCCCTACCGTCATCAAATATTTTCTGGACTTCGGCGGAGAGTTCCAGTTGACCAAAAAGGTTGAGTGAGCCCCAGCGGGTGGTGTCGAGCAGAGTTCTCGGTGAAGGCGGAGGCGGGGTGTTATCCTGAGTTGTAGAGGCATCGCTCATCTGGAGGGTTGCGCTCCTCGTCATGTCCCATAAGTTGCGGGTTCTGGGGAGCTGCTCGGTGGAGCCTGGTGAGGTGGAATTCGGCTCTGATTGGTGTATATTGTGCAGTCTCTTTCGTTGTAAGCTGCGAAGTTCTCGGTTCTTTCGATGGGAAGCCAGAGCGGTATGCTGGTGCCGACGCGAAGATTGAAGCTGCTTATCGACGTCATTGGTGCGGCCATCTTCAACCCAAGGCAGGAAGATGAACTCCATGATTGAGAAAGATACAAACGGTGAAGTTGAACAGATGAGGATGAGCTGATGTTGCGGGCGAAAATTTGTAGGCGCAATGACCACGGGGTAAGCAAGTCAAAACATGATGCGGGATTTTCCGCTCTCCGCTGCGCCCCAATACATATAGACATGTCCACACCCACTGGTCTCTACAGAACAACGAAAACAGGCAAATGCTCGAATGATAGTGCCTTACTTTGTATTCACGCTACCAAACAGTTGGTGTTGGCTGCCATCCCAACGCATCGGTCATCGTGTCAAGCATTCAGTTGACTTTGTTACAAGATGCCAATGCAGATATCGCCCTTGACTTTGGCAATGACCCGAATGTCCACTTCAAGGGCCAATCTCACGTGCACTTTCAAGCTTCCTCCCATATTTTCAATGTCCTTCTTGGAAAAGCCCTTGGGGATGTAGTCTGGAGTGCTGTCGCCAACATCACCCTCGGCGGGCTTAGCGACCTCCCCCAGACCGCGACCTCCTGGGGCGTTGTCAAAAGTGTCATTCCTACATTGACCATGATTAGAACTAGTAAAGATCCAAGTGAAAAGCAGACAAAATGAACTTACAGATCCTTGGTTTCGCCTGACATTGTTCGTGTCTGTTTTCCTTTGCCTGGATGAGTCCCCGGTAGAGATTGCTCTGATTGAGGCGACTTGTCGGTTGGCAGTCGAGCTATCAGTGTGGCGGTGTGTTGGGTTCCTTCGCGCTTTCAGCTGTACGATATCCGCTAAGTTTCGTCGGCAGGTGAAACAAGGCCTCCTGAGATTGTGAATCTGGCTTGCGACTTGTTCTTGGGTGATGAAGAGTTATCGTCAAATCTTTCTCGAGGTGGCCGAGAGGATTTCTGCTAGGAGTCGCGATCACTCGAATATCAATGAGTGCTACGGTGCTTGAAACGATTGTCCAGCGCCGTTTCCGCTTGATCCTTCCAAGGTCAACCACAATGCTCCTTTCCCGAGAAATGGTCAGGTTAAAAGACACTTACAGTGGGGTTGAGGCTTGAATGGAGCTTGCTGACGGTGGGCGGTCTGTATTCGAGAGGCTGGAGATGTGGAATTCGGGTCGGAGGAGGCTATCGTCATCAAAGATGTCCGGGTCTTGCGGAGCAGTGTCGACAGTCGGTGATACTGGGTTGTCACGGTTCATGGCGTACCTGGCTTGAGCATTGAGCATCCAGGCACGCCTTTAGTAAGGTGATCTGTCGGAAAGCTGGACCGGTAGGATCAAAGCAGCTCTTGCCAATTCCAGGAAGCATGATATCGTCGATGCAATGCGCCTAGGGCTTGCTGCTCAGTCGGTCCAGCGCTGGCCAGGTCTCCGATTGGCCATCTCACGCAGGAACCAAGGTTTCAAAGCTTCCAAGTCACAATGGATGGACTCCACCACCACCATGGAGATGTGAACCGGTGCATGGGTCGCAGGGAGGAACGAGAAAGAAGCAAGGAAGATGCCGGAAATGCGCAGTGATGCGCCTCGTAACAGGCGCAGGCAAATGCCACCAACGCGTCCAACACATAAATTACGTCACAATGAAGTGAGCCTTCGCCCGCCATTGACCACAAATACAAGATATTCAACTTCATCTCCACCACAAGGCTGCAGCTCAAAAGCCACTTGTACGAGTAGGATCCTCAGCTCGTCAGGTGCCTCATGCAGAATGCCACTTTGACGGGATTGACAGTCAAATCCTCCTCTTTCGGGCCGCCAACATACTGCCGATCAAAGTGGTGCATCACCCGCCTCTAGATTCACCCACCCCTAGCTACCACTACTTAGTCCCATCTCCATCGCATTTCACCCCTGGCTTACATTCCTGCACTGACAAACAATGGTGCTCTCGTTAGTTACTTTGGCGGCCACGGTGCCTCTGATCGCCACATCAACCATCCAGCTTCAGGAACAGAGTCAACGGAAACAAGAAGAGAGCGAGCTTGAGCTCAAGAGAGAGAAATGCCATCTCAATGGCCGGGCGACAAAACGAATGAGTGCCAAGCGTCGAGAGCAGTTCCAGGACATGAGGGTGGTGTTGGATGACGGAAGCCTGTTCCTGGAACCCAAGGCGGTCTCGCAAAAGCATTCCTTCACTGGCTACTTCCTTCCATACCCAGACAGATCTTACGACGGCATCGTCACCACCATCAATGCCGAAAACATGCTCAACTGGATCTTCATCAACAAGGACACCTACCGATTGCAGTATGGTATCCGCGCAGAAGCCCAACCACAATGGACCGGCCCAATGACCCTGGTACCTGGTCAAGCGTTGGAAGAATGGAGGATAGCATTCAATGGCTGGGAAGGTTTCGTGGCGGTCCAGGAGGGCGACGAAAGATGGGCCATCTATTTCGACAAGAATGACAATGGTTTGGCGGGGAAAGTTGAGGGAAATGCCGTGGTGGAAATTGAATTGGTCCGGGCGCCTCTGGAACAAGAAACGAGGAGTGATGAAGAGCCGGACTGAACTACATTCCCATGGTGGAGCCACAAGCGAGTCTGGCGTAGAACTAATGGCCAAAATGAGCCACGAGCACCCTGATTTGGATTTTCTCTTCTCCTCTTGCCTTACTTTTGCCGGAACGTAGCACATATTTGGGCGAGTCCGGTTGTCCTAGGCGAGTACCTTGCGAGCTTGGTAGGGCTTGCAGATCAGTGGGTATCGAGTCGGGGCGCTTCAGGGCTTCCGAAGCCACCTGCGAGCCGATCCTTCTGCGCCGTGGACGACTAAGTCACCCGTTGTCGACAAAGCAGTCGGTCAGAACAAGGCGAAATCAGAGCTTCAAGTGACTGGCATACTCAATCACACATCCGGAGAGTCTAGACCTTCTTGTTTTACACCGACAAGCGTGTGTTGGAGGCCCTGCGACCCTTGGGCCTCAACAAGCCATTTGGCATGTGAAGGGTCGTATCGATGAGAAATACGTGGTCAGGACTTTAAGCCAAGTGAGCTGTTCAGGTGAAACGGAAGGGTCCGTTAACATCTGCAGGGCGCTGCGAATCAGACGGAGACAACTGAGTGCGATGACGTCTTCGGAAGTTGTAAATTGTGCGTATAGAATTCCAAGTGGCTATCGTATTCTAGCACCATTTGGAACCACCTGCCACCTGGTATTCCGTAGATGGTTGGTTTGTGCCATGAGGCTTGCCAAACCAATTCTCTTGCTTCCTCTGACCTGTTTGTTGTCTGGGTGGAGCTGCTCCGTGTACACCCTGTTCCTCGCATGGTTGTCATATTGTTGTCAGGCAGCACTTGCGATGAGGCAATGTTGAGAATAATATGTTCTACTCGTCCACCGATACATCACAAGAAGAGGTCGAAGACACTCGTAGTAATGGGCTAAATGCTAGAATGGGCCAGTCCGCATCGCGACCAAAAAAGCAGCCAGCAGCTCCCGCGCCGGAGGAGGAACAAGAAGGATGGGGTCTCTTCCACTCTGGTCAAGCGACGTCTGTTCCTGAATGGACGGATTCACAGCAGATGCACGAGGAAGACTTACCTTCCGCCGACACTGCTCCGGGAAACACAGAGGATATCTCGGGGGAAGATGAGACCCAGCAAGATCCTGCAGCGCGACGCGACGGAGCCTCTACTCATGAAGATGAGGATCAGACACAATCCCCAGCGTCGCACGTAATCGACTCAGCGCATGACGAGCAGGATGACAGAAGCGAGGGGCCTGATGACGAACCAAACCGACCCGTTGAGATGAGTGCGAATGGGCAGAATGCTGATCCCAACCCCATCAGTTCTGGGGAAGAGACAGCAGATACCCAGACACCAGAGCCACATGAGAACATGGCCGAGCGAGAGACCAGTAATCAAGGCAAAGACCAGACAAAAGAACCCAGAATAACGGAAAGTGTCCCAAAGCCTACCTTGCAAGCCAACGTCGGAAAACATACGGCGACCAACTCCGCCGACCGCGCGCCGTATACCTGGTTTGACATGGTCATTGATCTCGATGATCCCAAACCTCTTGGACCGGCTGGATATTTCTATGGGCCTTCAACGATGCCCGAATTGCCGCCCTTGGGACCCAAAACCAGTATCCATGTGCTATAACTGACGGGCGACATGGCGAAGCATGCTTCGCTCTCAGCTTCCGCACACTTGCTCCACAACGATAATTGTTCGAGGTAGTCACCCCCCAAATTGGTTTTGTCACTGTCAGACGAATGCTGCGTCGTAAAAAGGGGATCTAGAGGCGAGGTGCTGGGTTGAAGATTGTGGAAGTTCTCATTCACGCTATCCCAAGATCGTTCGCCGTACCTTTGGCGATTCAGAGGCGATCGAGTCCCTCAGCTTTCGGGCGGGCATCGATCCTGAAGGACGGAGGACGTTCCAGACTCTCTGCGTCGCTAAAATCATTAAACTGGCCCTCACGCAACCTCACTGTTGTCTTGTCCAGCCCTTTCCCACTCCATGAGTCGACCGGTTGCTGGAACTTATTCCACCAACCCATCCTAAACATCTCACTCTGCCAGATACCCTTCTTCTCCCATTCCTCATCCGACCAGTATTCTGAACCCGGGGGAACCATGCCAGATTTCGGGTCCACGATACGGGAACCTGCTAGCAAGCTTGCCACGGCGGCGATGCTCCCAATAGGTTTAGGCAGAACATTTCGCATGTCATTCGTAATGAACACCACAAGCGCACATATCAACAATACACCCACCACACCTACTAACAAGTGCGTGGACAGCGGTGACTGCACGAGACGAAAATGACGAGGATTGACATATGCTGCCTGCAGAGGATTGACCACAGTTTCGGTCTCATTGTTGGACAGCGTAGAGAATTCTGCACGGAGGAAGGTGTTGACAACTTGGGCCATGTACTGGCGGTACAAGTGCGTGTACGATGCAATCAGCTTGCTCCCATCCAACAGCTCACTCGTCGGGGTTCCATCCTTGCCATAAACCATAGCATTAAACGTCTCGTCAAGCTCGTCAGCGGTCGATGTGATGTTTAAAACCTGCAGGGTAGGAAACCCAGTATAATAGTCGGAAAACTTGAGTGCCGAGCCAGGATGCACCACCGGATCAGAGGAAATTGAGAAGTCCGGCAGATTGAAGGTCGCATTGACCTGGACCCGCTCCAGATATTGCGTGCACAGGACCGGGATGAAGTCATCGATTTGGTTGTCTGTGACGTGGCCGTAATATAAGGCAAGCGTAGGGCAGCTATCAAGAAATCCTAACACCAACGTCGAACCAAAGTATCCGGACGTGTTTACTGGGACTTGCATGGAGGAGGAGAGCCAAATATATGCAGAGTCGATAGAGCCTGTGTTCCCGCAGCCATCCGGTGTGCTGATGTTGGAAGAGAGGAAACCGCTACTAAGCGTAGTATTCACGATTCGGTCCTCAGAAACAATGTTGCAGGTCGTTGCTCCACGGATCGCTGGTGTGTCCACAGATATGGTTCCGCTTTGGCCAAGCAGATTGTTCGCATTGTCGCCTTTGAGGCGGAGTTGGGGCATGGCAACTTCAGAGTACGTCCACTGGGGGTATGACATGTTACCTTCGATGACGAGGAGTGGGACATTCGTGGAAGTGATCGCTAATGTGGTGGTATTAAACCAGTCCAGAGCATCAACCTGGACCGAAATGCCTTGACTGGTCGCTTTGGTGGTGAATAGGCCCGACACGATGATGGTGAGCAGAGGAGCAAGAACAGCCGATACAGATGCTGCAGTCAAGGCAAAGCGGCTGTGCCGGAGACCATTATAAGTGGCGTGGAGAGATATGTGTCTCAGCGGGTACCAAAGCATTGAAGAGCTAGCTTCGCAGTCGGCTTTTGCTAGGGCGTGGAACGACTCGGTGAATTCGATCTCAAAGTCCATTATGTTGAAGAGAGTCGCTAATAGAAGAAATACCAAGACTGGGACATACAACCAGGAGTATCTGGTCGCGCTGTCGTCGCTGACGTTGCCGAGACCGTTATGCGCTTGTGATTGCGACAAAAGGACTTCCAATGTGATGATGGCGGCGATGGAAGCTAAGATAGTCGATGTCATGCCAATTCTGCGCAGGATGAAAGGTCGGGTCCATTTGATGTCCAGAGGAGCCGAGTCGCCGCGGTCTGGTGGTGATCCATGTAGTCCTGATTCGGCTCCGGTGACCATTTGGATGGAGAAGGTTCGGGCACCATCTTCATATCCTGTGGCAGTCATGAACCTGTGTGGAGCGAGGATCTCGCGAAGCTCACCCAAGCTTCGGTGACCAGTACCTCGAAGACGAGCCTCCAGTGCCGGGCTACGAGCAAGAATTGCGGCAACCGCAGCAATCGAGTCGACACTCCTTGGTACCACGCCCCTTGGGCGGACACATAAGATGAGAACAATGAGCAAGACCATCAGTGCAGCGACAGCTTGCATGACTCTGATTGGGATCTGTCTCGCGATCAGACGGCTCTCGTCCTTCGAAATTGTTCCCTCTACAACCGGCTTCGTATCTTGAGCTGCATCAGAAAGCAGATAAAGATTGGCGACTTGTGCTGCGATTTTCCCGTATATCCTATTAGCAGTTGTATTGAGGTAAGAAGGCTCGAGGAGATCTTCGACCTTGAAGTTGACTGTATCTTGTTGCATCATAGTCGTGAAGACATCCAAGGTGACGTTATCCGATGTCGAAGTGGAAATTGTACTGGCTTGCTGCGTCGTTGCCAGAACTCCGTCAGCAATGTCAACAGCGCTGAGACCATTGAGTCCACGCCCATTTCCTGTCATATTGACGGAATGGACGTTCCCCTGAGGGTCAAGTGTGACTAGGGCCGACTGGATTGAGTAGGAGGGAATGCAGACGATGTTGGACGAGTCTAGTAAAGTATGATTGTTCTGGCTGAAGCCTTCCGAATATGTCGCCGCGATCATGAACCGGAACCTTGTAGGATCGTCCGGTGGAAGATTGGAGCATGTTACATTCTGAATTGAAGCGCGGTAGCCAAATCGATGGGCAGTGTCGTTCTGCAAATAATACCAATCTGGGGCATCAAGGTATGCATTGAATATCTGGCAGTCTGGAAGTGTCACCGATGTGTTGTAGTACATTGATATCGGTGCATTACTACGTCTGTCCGCAGCAATGGTGTATTTGAGTGTTCCAGATTCGCAGCTGAGATTGGCGCTGAAAGCGTCAACATCAGCAGAATATGTTAGACTGCCGTTGACAAATCCGTCTCTGGGAGCAAAACTCTGAACAGCATGTTGGTCTGTTGTACCGACAGGCAGGCTGATATTGTAGGCCTTGTGGCCGTAGGCTACAAACGCAGCCCTCGAGTCGACTGATGCTGCGTGATCAAAGTCTGTACCAACAAAGGTATTGTTGAGAGCCATTGAGGTTGGGACATCGTTTCTCTGGACTGACTGGAGACTGAACATCCCGGTGCTTAAGACAGTGATAACTTTGATCAGCACGAAGACAATAATGCTAGAGGAGACGGCGAAGTGACCGCGTCGTAGAGATCTCCAGAGCGACGAGAGCTGGAGCGGCGTGACATAATCAAGTAGAAGACTGTTCTCTGCTCGCTGAGGGCCTTTTGCCATTTCTGCCCAGGGTTGAATAGATTTTGCGGCGTAATCGACTTGACGCCAGAGGACCGTAACAACCACAAATACAGCGGTTGGACCGTAAGTCCACAAATAATGATTTTCATCACTGCTCGTCGCAATTCCATGATTGTTCTGCGAAACCGTGTACACCACTTGCAAAGCAACAATGACGGCCACGAAAAAGAGGGCAAAAGCGATCAGAATCCAAGGTCTCAAGAAGAACGGATTCCAGTGTGTATTTAGCCGATGGCGCGATTCTTCGGGGTTTGATATGTCTGTAGGAACGAGCAACGCCGAACCCGGAGAGTGCTCACCTTGTATCCAGTTCGATCCATTTCGAGAGTTTTCAAGTTCAATGTCAGGGACAGAGCCGTGGGGAGGCTTCGGACTGCCGAAAATAAGGCGCGAATAGCCTCGTGGTCGAAATGTATCCATCACGACAATGGAGATAGATTTGATAATGCCATGGACTGTTCAGACAGCAAAGAGCTGCCCAGAGGTGGATGGTATCGAAGAACTCTTGGAGGGAATGCTGGTTTGAGAGAGCAAGGAGGGAGGCTCAACAGAGACCTGGTAGAGGCCATAGTGGCGCTCGTGTGTGGTGTGTGTGGTTGTGACCAAATGCCTCACTGGCAGGTCAAGGCCACCGGGAGAGTAGTACAACTGTTCGGGCACGTCCAGGGCTGATCGATTTATTTTTGGCCCCTTGAAACCCAAACTTCGGGCGCCGTTCATGTCGCATGAGGGTCGCTTTGTGAAAGCGTAAACCTTGAAGAACTCAGGGTGGCATTGAAAAAAGGAAGTCCTGTCTGACAGACGTGATTGCACTGTCTGACACACTTTATTGGCGTAATATGCTACGAAATGCTCGTCAAGCTTTTTAGTCTGACAATTATTTTACGGCTTGGCGTTCTCATTTCCGTCCCACACTACCGAGTACAAGGTAAAAGTTCTCGCATGCTTGGTTGGCTGGTTGGTTACTGGTTGCACCAAATTACCTGTCGTGACCCCATTCATCGCACACATTCTCTTTTACCGTACCAAGTGCTACGTCGTTGTCTGTCGAAAGTTCTATTGTGTTGCAGTGGCGGTGTCAGAGTGGGAGAGCGACGGCATGATTCCAAAATTCTTTTAATTGATGGTGGCTCTGTCATCCCGTTGAATTCCTCACTAGCATCTTCAAAGAGTGGGGGTTTACGTTTGACTGACATATGTACAAGTACGACTATGATTAGGCCCTCGCGCCCCTGGTGCCAGCTATCAACCATACCGAGATTGTCCCCTAACGCCCTGACCTCCTCAAATTTCTCCCAGCGGCCAGTTATATTGCTTCCGCGAAGCCACCACCACCACTCAACATAGCGTATCTGTCTCAGGGCCAACATACCCACCCCTGTGCGGGAGGATCTGCAGGAGAACAGAGCACATACCCACAGTATCTATATGCGTGTGGTTTGATGGCCCTGTGAGGGACCGTGAGCCCCTCTGCCCCTGAACGGCCTCTGTCCTCCAACCTCGCCTGTTCCGCAAGTGGATGGATTTGATTGGGAGAATTGATTCGCCTTCGGGTGATGCCAAAATGCAGGTACAAATTGCCATTTTCTATGTACTACCTCAAGCCAACATCGGAGGAACCATCTTAAGACTGGCCATCTCAGTCAGGACCTGCTTGATAGCTTCTTTTGTACTCACGAAGCCATGCCAACCCAACTGGCGATTGCGGTCCATACTGATGACTCGACCCCATCCTCCAAGAAGCTCCCCGTCGATGAGGCCAAAAGCATCCATAGCCTTGTCACCAAAGGGGTTATACTTGAGCCCATGCTTCGATTTCAATACCTCCCAAGCTGCCAATACCTCAGGCTTTTTGCTCCACTCAAGAAAACTGAATGAAGCTTTCACAATACCAGGTCCGCCGAATCCACGAGGTGGGACAGGATAAGGCATGGTAATGGTTGTGTATGCATCGGCATCGCTTGCTGGCCCACTTGCGGTTGTCTGGTACCAATCGGCAAGTGTTGGCCAAAACTTTCCCCAGGTGAAGGCACTATCGTCACACTGGTTGAGTGCTAGATTACCAGCCTGGGAAGTCAAAAGCGCCCATTCAGCGTGGTATGCCATCAAGGTGGACATCGATTGATGCTTGACAACGTCCCACGCTGCGACATCCCCTGGAAACAGCAGTGGAAGTCCTAGATGAGCCTGAATGGCGGCGTAAACCGACAGAGGCCACAGTATATTCATGGCTGCGCTCTCAACAGCACCAAGAATAAAGCATGGTCGTGTAACCACCCAGCTGGTGTTGTTCTTCTCGCAAAATTTCTCGAGGAGATCTTCCTGCGGAAAATAGAAGTTTCCCTGGATTCCATGCCGAGGATCTTCTTCTTCCATGGGGATGGCTGTTGGTCCAAGATGCAAGCCATAGTATTTCGCACCTGTCTGAAGCAAAATACGCTTTGGGAATATGTTTGCCAACGGTAAGGCACTGAGGAAGTTAGACAACAGAGCCATATTCTGCTTGGTTGTTTCTTCGATGTCGCTCCACAAGCTCTGGCCTTGAAGAGGAGGTGGTTGAATATATGACGCGAAGTACACATAATCCCTGCCTGTCAGTCAGCTAGATCAAGGTTGGGATGGAAGACCTTACGCTTCAACTCGCTTGTCCTTTAGGACCTGAGCAATTCCTTCCGGAGTACTCTTCAGAAAATCTACTGCGATATGCTCGACACGAGGTGGTGTTTGACCCGTTGGAGGGCGGCGTGACAGAGCATAGATCTTCTCCCATCTCTCAGGAGCTTCACTCAACACCTTGGTCATTGCCGAACCAGAGATGCCATTCGCCCCCGTCACGATTATCCGCAATCTCTTTCCTTCATGCTCCGGAAAGGTCGGGAGGCCATGAAAGATTCCTTTCGAGACGACTGTTTGCGACATTTTCAATACACTGAAATGCTCTCATGAAAACTGAAGGGGAATGAGGCGAAGGGGCGTGGCGATAGGAGACCAGCTCTCTTATACCCAATGTGTGGCTCGAAGGCCGACCTATATTCCAGCAATTGCAGCAACACGTCTGCTTGCATGATGCTGTAAGCAGGGTGCCATTAGACGCCACATTCCTGGGATTTAGGATGAACGCCGTGAGCAAGCCATGGTTCGACGTAAAGTATCACACCGCATCCTGCTCATTCGCGACTTCTACCGATCTCTCAAAGAGGAAATAACAATATTCAGTCACGTGATCGCTTTTGGGGCCTATCCACTTATTCTGGTCGACTGGCTGGAAGTAGCTGCCATTACTAAGCACTTCTTTGACGATAACTACGCTGTCTGGAGAAGGATATTGGTGTGGCCACTGGTGCCCGTACTGACTTAATAAAGCAACAGCCTGATCAAGTAGTCGTTGCGGATACACGTGCCGAAAGAGAGTATTTCGTTGCGTGGAGCAAGCAATTGGCACGCGTACACGTTGGTCACCACGGCTTCCAAATGGTCACGGAGACGCTCCTTTCACAACGCTCTTGGAAATCACCAATATCGATGTCTTCGTTCAAAGTCTGCTCTGCTGACAGAGTCACGCCTATGACTGATACACCAGTGTTTGCCATATATCGCCTACTAATTCGAAGCGAAGGCAGCGAACTGTCAGTTGCAGGCGGACTCGGTAAGAGATTGACTGATTACTAGTACATCCATTTTCTCCGTCGTGGGAGACTTTGAGCTGATGCGCAGGTGTGCTCGTTCCGTGAGCATCGAACGACTCTTGACAAGACTAAGGTCTGTAAAAGTTCGAGGGCCAGGAGCGGCATTCGCGGGTAAGTCACATGGCAGAGAATGACTTGAGGACAAACGGTGGCCATGCCGCAAATATACAGCCATACCGCCTCCTAACGATGTCATTCAGTGACGACAAAATCTCTATTTACGCGTAGATCGGACGAAGGGCAGGAGCGATAGGAGTTTATCCCCTAAGAGTCTATCTGGGGATATTCACCTTCGCGTCCAGTAACGTCACGAATGTCAAAAAGATATCAGAGGCTGCATCCAATCAAACAGAGATCGCCAACACGAGCAACCAAAGGTTTGATCTCGCCTCGGATGCCATGAACTGCACAATGGCCATCAAAGATCCTAATGAGGGACAGCTTATGTTTTGTTGCTATTCGTGCGCGCAAATCAGCAAGAAGAATGAGTATTGGAAACCCAATAGAGGTTGTCCTCCTGCGGCAGCTCAATTGGCCCCCAACTTTAGCATTTCCCTTGCTTGACTATTAGTCCGAGATAACGCTTCTGAAAAGCACATGTCGGACTTGTCCTCAAAGTGGGGCGTTGCCATATGTGGTATGGACATCAGCAACACGGAGCTTCGTCCGCTTGACTTGAAGGGCGCGGAGCAATCTGAGCCTCAGCTATCATTGGTGTCACACAGGTATTTAAGCCATGAATTCACTTGCGATAAGACTGTCAAACAGGGGACGAAGCCTATACAAGAATCGCAAATATCGAACTGTGTTGCCGTAGGACTCGAAGACCATACCATGGCGAATCGTGGACGGACGCTGGACCCTGAAGTCTTCTCGATCAACGATCTGAAAGACAAGGCGTCCAAAAACCTCCCCAAGATGTATCGAGGTTAGACAACGCTTGCACCCAGCTATATCCATGCCAATAACGCAGACAGAGTACTTTAACGAGGGCGCCATGGACATGATAACGTGAGTTTATGGGTCTGATCTCCAATCGTGGGAGAAATCGGTCAAAATAGCCAACGTCTCTGTTTCGGCAGTCTTCGAGACAATGAAGCCGCCTTTGACAGGTATCGGATACGACCTCGTATTCTGCGCAATGTGTCCACAATCGACACGAGTACCACAATATGGGGAAGTAAAGTGCTATTCCCGTTCGGGTTCTCCCCCGCGGCTATGCATCGACTTGCTCATCCAGAAGGCGAAGTGGGTACTTCAAGGGCCTGTGCAGCTCTGAACGTGGCGATGGGGCTCAGCGCCTACTCAACTGACTCGCTGGAAGACGTTATCAAGCAGAGTGAGGGAGTGACAAACCCGTATGCTATGCAGGTCAGTCTTCTGAAGAGTCAAGAGTTGACCGTACGACTGTTGAAGAGGGCCGAGCGTATGTGGCAGACAACTTTGTTCCGTTTCTTAACTGCATGGCCGGCACAACTGACAATCTCCACAGAAGCAGGCTATAAGGCTATCCTTCTGACAGTTGATGCGCCAATGCTGGGACGACGATTGAATGAGTTCCGCAACTCCTTCTCTATGCCGAAAGGTACCTCATATCCCAACATTGCTCCAGGCCTAGACATGAGCAACTTAGAGGGCGGAGACAATGAATTGGCCTATGGTGGGTGTCCTGCTGTACTATGTCAGTGCAGGGGTCCTAACGACTCTTGAAGAAAACGGCCTGAACTGGGACGAAGCCATCTCATTTGTCAAACGTCACACAACCCTGGAGCTGTGGATAAAAGGAAGTAGGTCGAATCTCCAGACAAAAGAACCGTGAGGCTGATCTATCTCTTTCAGTATACACCGCGGAAGACGTGGCCACTGCTATCCATTACGGCTTGGACGGTGTAGTCATCTCCAACCACGGCGGACGACAACTGGACAGTGTCCCTGCGACCTTGGACGCTCTCCGAGAATGCGCCCCCGTTGCAAAGGGCAAGCTCAAGATTGCCATCGACGGCGGGATTCGACGTGGGACCGACATTTTCAAAGCCTTGGCTTTGGGCGCCGATTTCTGCTTTGCCGGACGAATCCCAATCTGGGGATTGGCAGTGAGTACCCGTCTTGTCTGCAATCCCCTCGAACTCACGCCATTATATTAGTACAACGGCCAAAAGGGGGTAGAGCTGGCCATCCAGCTCCTGTACGATGAGTTCAAACTCACAATGGGTTTGGCTGGGTAAGTGAATCTGTCAGAATGACCGCTAATTGATGGTGTAGCTGAGATTCTGATTTTACATACAGGTGCAAGACGATCTCGGAGATCAATCGCGGACACCTCTCAATTTTAGAGAGCAATGGTGTTCTATCGAAGCTGTGATGTTGGAGACTCATGGGCTGCTGCGCAACAACATAGTCTGGGGTAGTGGACAACTGCACAGAGGATAGGAAAGGGGACATAAAGCAGGCGATGTACTGAGATATATACTTGGTATATGTAGGCAGATGTTTGCTTCTACAGTGGAGAGAACAGAGATGCAGGGTTAACCACTGTCAAGTCTCGAGAAAGCGAGTCTCTGGTGATTCTGAACAATTTCAGTCAACAAATTTCCCACCTCTAGTGATCAACCCCACGATGGTCTCTGTCGTGCTTACAAGGCCCGCAAGGCTGATAGTCTCGGTGACGGGACTAAATTCTTCCGAAGCCCCTCAGTGGCTGCGCCCAGACCTCAAATCCTAATCTCGACGTTACAATTGAGCAGGCAAGGCAGGTCATCTCCCCAGTATAAGAGTCGCAGCATTGTATTGAGCCAGGTGTTGTCAGGCTTTTCGCTATATCAGCCTTTGAACTCCATCTCACCCACACACCGACTGTTCGAACCATGGCTGAGTGAACGGAACCTGCACGCCCGAACATCTTCAACTGTGATCATGCTCTTGCCTTTGAGCATGGAATCATGTCGGCTTACATTCAGAGTAAGAGGGAAAATCCACAGAAGATGATGTGCGATCACAATGTGTAGCATGCTGGATTTCTTGAGGGTATACCCTGCCCGAGCAGTCGCTGTCCATGGGGACTTCTTTTGATGGCCTGGCTGCCTGGGCAGACATGGCTTCCGCGATTGTCTCCCTTTTGTCGCACTTTCCCGGATCTGAGAGGCCAACATCTGTTTTGCAGTCGGGATGGAGCTGCTACGCTCTCGTCGCTTCCGGGTACGCCTGGGTCGGAGTCAACAAGACGCCCTATCTCTGTGTTCTCCTCCTCTTTCTCTCGACGTTTCTTCATCCCTGCCAAACATTGGACCTCGAGGCCGTTGACGTGCAGCACTTGGATTGATTGGTACCCTTTGGACGACGACGTTGCTCATAACCATCCAGCTACCACAAGGACTCCTTTTGGTGCCTTGAAAAGTTCTTCGCTTGATCTCGTTGAGGATACGCTGCTGGTGAGACAATACTGTTGCGACAACTCCTGCCAACCTTCTTCGCATCTTGTCTTCAAACCGCCAAAATCATCTTGTCTGCGCTTCGCCTAGTGTTGTTGTGCCCTTGGTGAGAATCTTGCAGGATGTCTTGGAAGCTGGCCGAGTTGAGATGGCGTCAAGATGTCGGTCTCAATGAGAGCTGCCGGGAACGCAATGGTAGATCAGGTCAAGACAACCACCTTGAGAGCGAAAAGAGCAAGGTGATGGAACGCACAAAGCGTGGTCGCTCATATACTGCGCCGTGGTGCCGTGCCGTGTTGGGGAAGAGCCTGGCGGAAGACTCTGTCAACAATAGAATTCGGCCGGACCCGAGACCACTGCCGTTATCTACTGGTCTTTCAGACTCTTCAACCACTCCTCTGCTTCGAAGCGACCAGGACACAATAGGCAGCTTGACAGGACATAATCACCCTCTCTCTGTTGTTGAGAGAGACACCCCCCAGTCCGATCCGTCGCTCAATCACTGTATACCTCTTTCTCCACACACGTCATTTCGACGCCAAATCAGCCTTTGTCCTGAAATCTACCAGAGTGAATGGGCGTGCTCACCACTGGATGGTGCGTTCTTCTCTTGACGTGTAGACAAAGACGCCACTGACTATCCTGGTAGGCAATCAGCATTCCCCAAAAAGTTCAACGTCGCCTGTGCAGACCGGCGAGAGCAGCATAAGCGACCAGACCAGACAAGAACTGACAAGTCTGTCACAACCATCGCTCACCGTAAGTCTCCTTTCCATTCCACCCTCAACAAGGAAAATCGCTCACGATGGACAGGACTTCAAGACCGACCCAGACTTACCGGGCCAGTTTGACTTCGAGTTTGTTCATCCTCCAAGTTTTGGGCTCCAGCTCTGCAGACCAGCCCAGGTAGTTGGCCACAAAGCAGAAGAGAAAGGCTCGTATTTTGAACATCGCAGTGTCTGGAGGCGGAGTCAGTCCTTTTCACCAAGCGCCCAACGTGTCTCACTGGAGTCGACGCATCATTCTGATTCAGCTCTCCTTCAAAACTTTGCCATGGATGACCCAGCTAGTCATTCAAGTCCGGAGCCTCGCACAACGCGTCCCCTTTATCCAGATCTGCCTTCTGCATATGCACAGATCCAGGGCCGCAGAACTGCAAGTCTTCAGCCAGTCTCGTCGAGCAGGAGCGCAACCCGGTTCCCTCTGAGCTCGTCAAGCTCGTCTTCTGAAGATGAAGATTACGAACATCTGCCTTTTGAGAATGACGCCATAGAACTGAAAAACCTGCCGTACCGAAAAGTCCATTCAGCTCAGGGTATTCTGCGGGAAGCCGTTTATCACCAAGCGTCTAGCGCAGTGCTTGAGACGACCGTGGACAATGGCGATCCCGATCTAGATTGCAGAAGAGGCTCGACCACATTGGATGACATTGTCTCTCAATATGCAGATGCCAATCTCACAGGCTATCAGACACACAATATCAGGATTGACGATGGGGCGTATGTTGAGCCGGAGCCATTGAATTGTGTCACGGACAGCAAGTCGGCAGACGATGCCGCTTGCTTTGGAACTCCAAAGACACGTCAAGGTCATGTGGTCTCTGGGAATCAACTCCATGAGCCTTATCAGCATCGTGCAGAGAACCAACTCCCTCGAAACCATGAGGGCTTTGGAGCAATCGATGACGATGATGAGGAATGGGTAACAGTACCAGAGACTAGCCGCAGTGGCTTCCTGACTCCTTCAAAACTGCGATTTCGTCTGGCCAAGAGAGGGACTGCAGACACGTCTGATACCACCTTCACCGGCAGAGGGAGTCCTGCGTCACCCTGGGATCCGCTGTCGAGCGCAAAACAATCTGAACGGCGTCCCCAACAACAATACAAAGGTCCTTTGAACTCGAAACGCCATCATCATTCTCCTAGTCAAAAACCATGCAGAGAGACAGCCCTAGGGTGCAAACAGCCGCTTCACAAAGAGTCGTCAACTCTGAAAACAGGTGGTCAAGTTGCAGACGCTGATGAACGAGTCTGTCGTCTGGATTCTGCCGTCGCCCCTGCTGTTAAGGCACAACATCATTCACAGCCCAAACTGCGCCCCTTGAATCAAGTTTCTTCAACACATCTCACTCCTCTGTCTCATTCTACACGATCTGCCACGTTATCATCATCTCGACGTGTTCAGAGCGCTCTCCAATCAAGTTCATTACTCCCAAGAATTCCAGATGACACTCTTGTATCGAGCTTTCTCTCCCCAAAAACCATGACCTTCTCGAACGGTACTCCACGAGCAACAGCAGAAAACACTCTCACGATACCCTCGATCTACGACGACTCCCTCAACAGCATCGCTTCAGCTATGGAAAACCCTCACTTCACAGACGGGACTCGCCAATCTCTCATCACCCCTGCCAATAACAGAAATTTCGTTGGTGAACAAGTTGAAGGTGACAAAACTGAATCAGCGGCTATTTGTGACATTTTCGCTTCATCCTCCGACCATGGTTTTGTTCAGCGTCACAATATTGAAGGCACGTACATTGCCAGTGGAGACGCGGAAGCTTTAGCTGCTCGACATTACAACGAAGGAGGTTACAGATTCAACGACGCCGACATCTCTCGATTTCTCCGAGACAGCCGTCTTCTTCGCCAGAGACTTGATGACAGACACAAACACGAAAACAATAACGCCATATTCAGGCAGCAACGTGTTCTGGTCACCGAGAGCAGCCTAGCTAACGTGTCATCCGACTCAACCATGTTGAACCGTCTTCTACACGCTCGAACCTCCTCCAGCAGTCACTACTCTACCATTGACGACCCTGCTCGAATTACCGGTCAAGTCACACACAAATTCAAGCAATTCCTGAGCAGCAGCGGCACTGGTACTGGTACTGGCACTGCAGACAGCGCAAACTCCGAGTATTCAAGCCTCGGGAGCGTTCACACCTCAACCAACAGCACCTCTCTCCAGGAACCGGACGAGAACTTCGACACATGCGATGCGATCATATATTGCCATCGGTGTCCTTCGTTCCCTCTGAGCCCTGAGATGCTAGGAGTCGTGAGTCTCGAGAACTTGGGCCGTGTCCCATTTGAGCGCCTACAACTATCCCACGACGGAAAATGGCTCGAGAAGGGCTGGTGTTTCCTGCACGAGCGAATGGAATACAGCCATGCTGTCCTCGCTGGCAACGAGGCAGCCATCAGCGAAGACCTCAGGTCTGTCCAGCGTAAAGCTGGCAGACTGCTGTTGGTCTTGGGCGCGGCGACGTTCTTGGTGGGTGGGTGGACCCTGATCCAGTCGATCGGAGAGGGAGGCCCTCTGGCCACTTCGGCCATGGCTGATCTGACAAGGGTGTTGGCTGGCGGGGAGGAGGGGGTGGTTTGCTGTGTGCATCCACGGGATGCAGCAATGGCGCAAGCCATTGAAAAGGCGGCGGTGTCGGTGGTGGTGTTGGTGGTTGTCGGCGTGTTGGCGGTGCTGTCCTGGGCGGCGGCCACTATTTAGGTGGTTCGCAGAGGTTGAAGCAGGCGGGCGAATGCCCTTGAAATAGGTTGAATCAATACGAAATGAATATGTCACCACTTGCCTCTTTCTGTGTCTTTGCCATTCATTGTCTTTGAAGTGTTTCTGCGTGTTATCGCCATTGAAGAGTGGAATAAGGAGAATACGCAACAAGAAAGCGAGGCGGAACATGCCACTCCCGGTGAAAGATTCTTACTTAAGTGGAACTGACACCTCGCCATTCACACAAGCACATACTTGGTTGTATATGGCTAAGGAGCCCGCCAGACACAAAAGGGAACACGTACGGGGAAAAAACTCCTTGACGTTCAAGAGCATGTAATAGGCACAAATCAGCAATAGGATTGGAAATGGCGGCGGCATACATCTCAGTGAAATGACCACTATATACGTCCCAGGTTGCTCTTACTGTACATATCCACCGGGTTGGGTGCTGTCAAGATAGACGGCGGTCGTAACTATCACGCTAAGCAAAGTAAAGCAAAGCAAAGCAGAGCAGGCGGGCGACAGGGCAACAAAAGGAGAGGGTAGGTGTGTGGGTGGCCGGGGTGGTCAAGGCGAGGTGAACGCTCGCTCACGACCACTACTATTCCTCATCGGCAACGACGTACCCGAGAGCCTGGCCCATTTTGACCTTTTGACCCCTTTCGACAGCCCATTTGAAGCCGGGCCTCGACTCGGTACCTGCGGGGGCCTCGAAGACGAGTACGACGCTGCTCCCCAGCCTGAACCCGCCCATCTCTTCACCGCGGCGCAGTGCATGCCCACCCAGCACTCTGCTCGCTCTCTCGTACGTGGCTTCGCTGAAGCCCGAATACGGCTCGCCTCGTTCTGCGGCGGCAGCGGCTTGCCTGTCTGCCTCTGTGTCCGTGGTGAGCGAGTTGGTACGCAGTTCCTTATCGAAATTGATCACGATGGATCCAACATTTGTGGCGCCGACGGGGACGTAGGAGAAGAAGCCGTACTTCCATCTCCCCAGGAGTACGACCCTTTCGTTGAGTGTGAATAATCCCGGTAGGGTGCGCTGAACATAGGGACTGACAGAGTATAGTTCCCCAGCAAAGTGGCGGCGAGCTGTGCACACCCAGCTGACTGGCGAGTGAAAGCGGTGGTAGTCACCCGGTGCAAGGTAGACGACGACGTAGTACAGGTTCGAGGATCTGGTTGGTTGGGAAAAGATAGACCACCAGGGTTGGGTGCTCGCCAGATCAGCCGATACGGCCGCCTCCGAGGATGGAGCGGACGGCATGGATGCATCTTGAGTTTTGACTGGGGCTGAAGAAGACTGCGTTCCCGAAAAGAGGTTGGGCAGTGTGTAGGAGATGCCGTTGACGTTGGCGAATTCCTCGTCAGCCGAAACGGACTTTGCGTCCGAGCCTCCGGGTGAATCTGATGGCGTCTGATCTTCTGATTGTGCGGAAAGTTGCGAGTTGGGGGAGGGTGGCGCAATTCTTCCGAGTAGGGCGTCGACAGAATATGTCATTCCTTTGACTTGTTCGACTTCGCCGTTCTCGATCGTGCCGAACTGAAGCACTCTGGCATCGGCGGGAGAGAGGACCGCGTTCGGATCAGGGTCGAGAGGTCGGAGTCCAGGTTTGATCTCGCGGTAGAAGAAAGCAGATAGGTTTGGGTAGACGTGGAGGTCAGGTTCCGCTACCTCATCGAAGTTGACACCAAAGATCCAGCCATAGAGCTTGAAACCTGGGACGCGGAGGTAATAGGGTATCGTCAACTCGTTGAAGCGACCCCAGACTCGAGAGATAGCCTTTAAGGGAAGGGTGGACATGATCTGGACCTGCCAGCCACCTCCTGATGGATGGATTCTCTTTCTCTTTGGAGGGGTGGGTTCAGTCCCCTCCGCCGCGCCCTCTCGCCTCTGAATACGTATGAATTGAAACAGGCCCAGGAACGCAATGCCCAAGCCGATTGGGATCGGCTTCCATTCGACTCGCGTTGACCGCCATGCTTTCCCAAGCCGGGAAGTAAAGCTCTCGTTGTCTCGTTTCTTCTTCTCTTCTTCCCATAGCCTCCTGCTGTTCGAAAATGTCCGGCGTTGTTGTGGTGGGAGGCGGGCATGGATGTGCCTGAATGGAACGGGCTGACAAGGGATTGGGTCATGCAGAAGTTGCCTGCACTGAGGAGATAATGTCGACCGTCGATAGAGACAGGCTCTGCCCACTCGCGCAGCAGCGGCAGCCATATTGCATGTTTGTTGTCAAAAGTAGAAGCGAGTGTCGAAAAGGAAAATAGCAGACAGACAATGACACCATGAATCTGCAATCTGGAATGTGAATCTGGAGTTCTGGGGGCAGTTTTCTCTGCCTCTGCACAATGACGCAGTTTTGGAGGAAGCAGTGCCGATCGTGATTCTGATTGGCTCATTTCCGACGCGTCTGAGACCACCGTAAGAAAGTCGCGGAAGTGTCCTTCCAATTCTCCCCATATTAAGGCATGAGGCTATCACTATTGTCTATCTTCTGTCTCCCAATCATATGTTGATGATCTTTCCCAATCCTTAAGTCTCTCAGCATGGCCTCGTCGTCTCCTGCACCACAGCAGCCCGCCCAGCCGTCGGATCTACCTCCCTTGGACCAAGATCATGTTCACCTGCGAATCACCTACCTTGTTACTGGCAATCCACGGCCACCACATTATCTGGGGAGCCTCAATCTGAACACCACCATATCTGCACTCAAGGAGAAGATTCAGACTGAGCTGCCTGAGCATCCGTCTCCCTCAGAACAACGGCTCATTTATCAGGGTCGTCCTCTACTCCGAAACGATGCTAGCCTGCGGGAAATCCTCAGGATCGAAGTATGTACATCTGCAATGCCTTCAGTAAGATAATTCTGACCGCTGTCTCTTCTTTAGCCTGGTGCTGTGCCTGATATCCTCCCGTATACGGTTCATATTGTGATCCAGTCTCCGCAGAATATCTCCCAGCCCCAGCAACCGTCAAACTCCGTTCTGAACCCCCCTCCACCACCGCCTCTGCACCCTGGTCACCAGCATGCAGACTTTGCAAGCCCTTTCAGAGCCGCTGAAACATCAGCCAATAGACTCCAGGAGTCGCTTGTCCGTATACAGCAGCAGATTGAGGCCAACAGAGCGGATCTGAGGACGGTTCAGCAGAGAATAGCGTTACAACATAACAATCTCGGTGGACCACCAAATCTCATGAATGGTCAGGTTAATGTCAATGGCCAACCGCTGCCTGCTCCTATTCCGCAGACTTTTGCCCTGGACTTTCATTTCGGCCTTCCCCCGGATCAGCGTGCACAGAATCAACAACCTCCGGTCCGTCTGAATCCCCAACCTCATCATCTGCCACCTCACACATCAACTCCTACACACACCGTTCAGGAATTCCAGGGTCCGAGCGGACAACGCATGACAGTCGTGTCAGAGCACATGAGCTTGGTGATCCCAACCCCAGACCAGGCCCCCGGATCTGGGCAGCCCGCTACACAATCTCAACCGCCAAATCCATCGACTCAAAGACAACAAAACAATATTCCCCCAGCACCTACGCCAACCACCTTTGCCCCACCTATCTTCTTGTTTCCTTCATCCAATTCACCCATCCATGTACCAAGCCCATCTGTGCAGAATCACCCAAGCATCCCTCAAACATCAAATACGATGGCCTGGCTGCTATCGTCACCAATGGGCCCCCAGGCATTTCTGTTTGCTCCGGGCCATGGCTACTTTTCTACTCTCCCTTCGAGGCCACCGCAGGTAGCCGACAGTGTGTCAGATTCTCAAGTTCAAGGAAATGAAGCAAACGCGATAGGGGGAGCTCAGCCGATACAAGCGGGGAATTTTGACCATCCAGATGCTAACCACGCAATAATACGAGCGAATCAGCCGCTACCTGTCCCAGTTCTGGCACAAGCGCAGCAGAATGGAGAAGACTTTGATCTCTTCGCATTCATCATTCAGAGGGGATGGCTTTTCTTGCGACTCTACCTGTTCATGTTTGTTTTCTCCGAACCGGGCACCTGGAAGCGGTGGTTCATGATCCTTGTGGCGGCATTCATCTGTCTACAGCCTCCAGATGGTCCCCTTACGCACCTTTTGGCAGCCGCTCGCCGTCACCTCGATAATCTTATTGGCCCACCTCCACCGCAACCTCCACCTGAAGCTGCGGCTCAGCAACAGAATCCCGCCGCTATTCAACCCGGTGTAGGCCCTGTACAAGCCGGGGCTGGTGTACAACGCCCTGCCAACATCCGCGGAGCTACGACGATGACACCACAAGAAGCGATAGCTCGTCTGGAAGAGGGGCAGAACCATGATCCGCGTTCCTGGCGCGACACACTGTATCGTGCTGAGCAGAGTATAGCACTGTTCCTGGCGAGTTTGATTCCTGGTGTGGGCGAGCGCCATGTCAGGGCGAGGGAGGAAGCAAGAAGAGAAGAGCAACGTCGCATAGAGGAAAGAAGCCGGGCGGAGAACGAAGCAGCTGCGCAGAGACAAGGTGCGGAAGAGGCAGATGCCCCGGTTGGTGAAGGGCAAGGCTCACCAGCAGAAGGCCCAAAACCCGAAGTCGGCGTGGAAGGGTCCCGAGAACAGAGCACTTCAACCTCCGTTGAGGTCCGTGATGGCGAGAGTGAATCTGCCGAATTACGGAATAGAATCTCCTGATTCCTTCCCTGGCTGAGCAAGCGATGCAGACATGATCAATTGACCATGACCACAGCAGAAAGTTGTATTGGAGTCCAAAGTTGGGGACCACTGGCTCCGTTTGCCCAGTTGTATTGAATAAAATAGCAATGACGATACCCAGAATGACATTTCATGTTTTTGTCCCCAGACAGCAAGCACCAAGCCAACCATGAATGACGAGTGGTCTAGATGCTCCAGTAGACGAGGCGAGATGAAAGGATTCCTGTAAAATTTTCATTGAGACTCTCTCCTTCCCTTCCCTTCCTTCGTTTTGATAAAATGCTCCAATACTACGATGCTACTATATAATATGGCAGTCATGAAAAGATAATCCAAGCATACGTACATAATGTTACAGATCTAGAACACCAAAGATACGAGGTTCTGGATGGCTTTTACAAAATAGGATAGAAAGGAAATGATGGGACAGGGTCAGATGGAACGAAAACGAGCCAGTATTCATTTGTTTTCCACCCACTTTTAGGACCGGTAGGAGGAATGACAAGAAACAGGAAGTACGCAAATCCTTGAGAGAAAAAAAAAGAAAAGAAGAAAAACGAGGGCCTCTATATCCCTCCCTCCTTCCCTCCCACTTCCCCATCCTCCCTTTTCTGGCTTGACCCCTGGAGCTTCCAATAAGACTTTGACCTCCATACCTGCATTTACCAGCCTGCCGTACCTCGTACACCCTAGGCGCCCGAGTTCCCTCCAGCGAGTTGAAAGTCCATGCGAAATGTCTGGGGAGACCCTGATCGGATGTCTCGAAGCCGAGAAAAGTCAGGTGGTCGTTGCGGCAGGCGCCGTCTCTCCTCCCTTCTTCTGTTCGGGACCGCGGGCGGACTCCTTGGTTCTCCACCACCCACTGAAGATTTCGCGCTTCAACAGCTCCCGCACTTCCACGTTGGCAAAGTGCAGCGTGGCCAGGGCGTCTTGCAGACTCGGCGCGCCGCTCGGGTAGATGATGTGCAAGCCAGAGTCCAGGGCCGGGTCCGGGCGGAATTTGTCGTGGTAGGCCTTCTTGCCGCCGATGGGCAGATGGCGGAATGCGCGTCGGTAGCAGGATTTGGTGAGTGCGGTCGTGGGCCGCGACAGGCCTGTGACCTCGTCGAGCTGTGAGGCTGGTTCGAACCCGAAGCTCAGATAGCCGATGCCGGCTTGCTGAAGAAGAGACATGGCAGAGAAGACGAGGAGATCGGTGATGCCTTTCGGTGCCGTTGGCGTAGCGCAGTAAGGATCAATGTGGTATCCCTTGTTCGCACCAATCTTGCGCAGAGCGGCAAAGCCGTTGCATTGGCCTTGTCGATCCGTGGTATAGAGATATGTCATGAGCATTGGGATGGCAAATGGATCGAAAACAGTCATGTACGCCTGTGGCTGGCCGGACTGGTTGCGAGACTCTCTCCACAGGTCGTACACCTGGCGCAGTTCCCGCTCCAAAGCCTCGTCACGCCCCTGAGCTGGAGCATAAGCTTGGACTGATATGCCCCCTTTTTCAGGGTCGAGGAGATGCTTGTTTTGTGTAACCATCCTCTTCTGCTCCTTCTCCTGGAGGACAGGGTTGTTGAGAGGATTGAGGACTCGCTCGGTGCCGAATCGCATAGTCACCCATTTGTGCTTGCTTGCATATGACGCGAACTCGTCCGTTGCACCCAGAAAGACCACACCCCAACGCCGCCGTTTACGCAGCCGACGAAATTCAGACAAAAGATGATTGTACCCTGCTGGATCGCAGAGAGGATCACCGCCAACAACGGCAACATTGTTCCTGACCTTGTAATAAAGCGCTGCTTGGCGATCCTTGGTCATGAAGAATCGGTAGCTAGGGTCGAGGATCCCCATGTGGGAGACTTTGCCGAAGCGCTCCACCAGGGAGCCCAGGGCCGAAATGGCCGTAAAGTCGTCGAGTGTAAAGGTGTGGATATCGTTATTCTTTCTTCTTGGTTGGCCAGGAATATGGTTCAGGCTCGTGCTGGAGGAGTTGAAGCTCACAGTCATCGAAGTAGATATGCACTGTTGATGTTCACAGACATCGTGGGCAGGCGACAATAGGCCTTGGGAAGAAAACGAAGTCGTCAGAACAGTGGTGCTGCTCTGGTTAAAGTCGATAAATCTTGGTCCCAGTAAGGCCTCCTGCTTAAGGAATTGCAGACGTTGAATGATGTTCATCGAGTCAATGTCCCTGGCTTGGGTCATGAGGATCTGCGCCAATCCTCCGCCGAGGTCTTCGGAAAGAAGAGATTTCGCCTGAGGCACCTTAGCTGTTGGTTTCTTGCGTGGTGTTTTTTGCTTGGCTGCATTGTTGATATCCTGTACGTGTGCGTGGGAGGCGTTGTGATTCTGGGTTGCTTGGTCTAGAAAGGAAGCCATGTTTGCTTGGAAGATACTGTGCTCGCCAGTATTGAGCTCGAGATGAATATTCCTGGAATTTAAGGCAACGGGGTGTAAGGTCTTGCGAGAGTTGAAAAAAAGGGAAGGATTTGCACTGGAAACCTGGTGCCTATTTGAACGTTACCAATATCAAGACTGTCACTCCACTCAGCTGATCTTAAAGCCTTCTCTCCATTAGATATGCAGAGTGATTCGGTTCTAGAGGGGACTGTGTCTTGTGCACAGCACCCCGTGGTGACGAGTATCACCAGCACACTCAACGTCAACAACGGCCGAGTACGGGAGTCCCAAATTTGGAGCCAGAACCGCCTCACACTTCCATTCTCGTCATTGTCTGCATCTCGCCATCTGCACGTCGATACATTGCCGCGCAATTGGGGGCTGGGGTGTTCATGGAAGACTCGAAGACCGAAGGAAGCCACGCAAGCTTGTCTGGACACCAGGTCAGGCAGACGCAATTCGATTGGCGGAGCGCCTTGCTCGGGTTTGAGGGAAAACGAAGGTTCTGAGCCTATTGAAGGATGGTCTGGTGCTTGATCTGACATGGCTCGTATTGCTTTACTGTAAGCAGATGCCAGAAGCCACTTTCTGCGGATGGCTGCCAGAATGTTCAGGCCGCTTCGCGTATACGATGCACATGTCCTCTCCCCCTTTTCAGGTGGATCTGGTTGGAACAATATTTGAGGGGTCCAGCCTTGCAAGGTGCGTAATTTCGTGCCCGCCCATGTGCCCATGTTTGGTGCCCGAGTATCTCGTACTCTTTCCCCTTTGTATCCCAAAAGCCATAGAGTCAGATGGAAATTCCACGTTCCGAGAAATTCTTGGTCAGCCGTGGTCAGTCGAAGTCATCTTTGCTCTAGATGTAATATGCGGGAGGAATGACTGCGACTAGGAACAGATCAGACCCTAGACAGGTGGTAACTGGTTTCTCTCTCTTCACTGCGGGCATCCGCTAGGGTTCAGGTTCTGTCCTGGTGCCTGGATATATTGAGGATTTGGACTCGGAACCCGAAATACGAGAATCCATAGGCTCCTTTTCTGGGGGATGGACAGGGTTCTAGTGCCTGATTGCCATGATAAAGCTTGTTTAGTGTCACTAGCAGTGTTATCTTAGATCTGGCTTGTGCACAGAGTCGGCGAAACAGTTGATTGGCGTGGATCATGCGAGAGGATCAGAACGTGGTTCTAGCATTGCTTCGCCCAGCTACAGATAGATCAAAATTGGATTGTGGTGGTTGTGGTTGCAGGTGTCGATTGTGGTGTTCTGATGAGCGCAACTCGCCTGGTTGAAACCCCGAGGCGCCCGGCCCTCGCCCAAGCGGCAATTGGCCCCGCAGGTCAGTGATGTCATTGACTTTTAGCCCTGGTGGCCCCCGACCTAAGTGTGTCGAAGTCACAGTCACCCGAGCTGCAGCCCCCCCATGACGCCCGAAGGGGCACCCCCAGCCACGAGAGTCTAGACTGACTTGGACATACGAGAGGCATAGCCTCGTCCATACATGTACATACCCACCACTAGGGATCTGTACCTTCAATCCTTCCTTCTGTTCGACTTATCGCGCGTAACTCTCTCATTGTACATACAGCCCGATACCAATGCCTCTGACTGACTCATGCTGTACTTGCGCCACGCTCCTCTCGGACGCAAAGGTGCCCTACGACCCTCGGTCAGAGAAGTCACCGTTTCATCACCGTCAACTTGATTGCTGCTCCCGATTCATATGCGCGACATGTCAGTGTAAGAACCCCCGATTTCAGGCCTACTGCCCATTCTGCCAGATATCGTCTGGCCCGTCTGCATTGCCGAGAGAAGGGCTCCGACTGCCGCCCTCATACTCTACGACTGCAACTCTAAGAGGTTCGAGAAGGGCAGAATCGCCACCACCCTCTTATGATGATTCGATAGGACCCTCGCGGACGCCAGAGCAAAGCACAGGCCCGCCAGCCGACACCGACGACACTGTTCATTTCGTGGGGTCTGAAGACTCGTTACAATCGTTATCGCTGGCCTACAAAGTGCCCATCCAAGTTCTGCGTCGCTACAATAACCTCTATTCTGATCAACTCCTCGCTGCCCGCAAGTGGATTCTCGTCCCGCGATCCCACTACACAGGTCCTCCTTTGAGTACACCACCAGATGCAGAAGAGGAAGAGCGCAAGACAAACCTACGGCGGTGGATGATCGCTACAAAGTGTGCAAACTACGATGTCGCTCAGCTGTACCTCAAGGGTAGTGATTTCAACCTGGAGCTTGCAGTGGAGGCGTTTAGGGCGGACGAGGAATGGGAGAAAAACAATCCACTGAAAGGGAAGGCCAAGAGTAGCGGAAGGCATAGAATATCCCATGGATTCAGCGGCAGCATTTCTCAGCAACTGTCGTGACACCAGTGGTGCTTTTCGACGACGTGACGACCTGTTGACGAGATGATGATGCGGTGCCACGAGAGATATCTTCTCTGGTGTTCGCATGCCTGTCGCTTCTTGCGTGTGGAATAGATGTGGACATTGTTATATCCTGAGACCAATGCCACTAGTTCTCAGACCTCGTCGACAGGACAAGGCAAGGAGGGAGGTCTGAAGGCGATGACGGGTCTGCAGACAATCGACACCTCCTTCCAACCTTTTGATCTGGCAATGACGGGAATCTCTGTCCCGTCTTCTCGCACTGCTGTTAGCAACTGAACATGGCTTTGATACTATATCTCTCTACCTACAACCCTTCCTTCTTCTACTCTTTAACTCGGCCCGGAGCAACTCTTTCACTATTATTATTGTACTCGTTGCTCCCCGGAGGAAATCTCGGTCGGGATCAGGAAGATAAGCCAATGATTGGAACGCGGACCAAAATTAAGCGTTTTTGAGGCGCCCCATCTAGGCCCTGGATAAATACGAGCTCCTCGTACCAATACATATCGAGGCTGCTGGCTGGCTAGTAAACGACTCTTTGTTCCAAGGGTTTTCTTGAGTCACTCGTTCCCAATTGTTTGCCTATTGCTTTGGATGTAGTTATATCTTGCGCCAGTTGGCTCACTCACAGGTAGGTCTTCTTTCTTCCTTTCTTCCTTTCCGTCTCTTTTCCCTTCTTGCTTGTGCGCTCTCCCAGTGTCCTGCAATTCAATCATTCACTATGGCCCTGTCCCTCTACAACGTGTGCGCCGTGGTCGGGGCTTCAACCCTCGGCTACGCCGGACTGCAGCTGGCGTCGGCGCTGCGCTTCCACCTCCACGCCTCCAAGCTGCAGCGCTACCACCACGGCACGGACCCGTGGGTGCTGATCACGGGGGCCAGCGACGGGATCGGGCTGGCGTTCGCGCAGGCGTTCGCTCAGCGCGGGTTCAACGTGGTCCTGCACGGACGCAACGCGGCGAAGCTGGACAAGATTGTCGCGGACCTGAAGAGGCGGTTCCCGACCACGGGGTTCCGCACGCTGGCGCTCGACGCGACGACGCCGCCGGGCCCGGTCTTCGACGAGACGGTGCTCGCGGCGGTCAAGGACTGCAATCTGACCGTGGTGGTGCACAACGTGGCCGGGTCGGGTGAGCCGCAGTTCGAGATGACGCTCTTCACCGAGATGCCCGCGCGGCAGTGCGACGGGTGGATCAACGTCAACGCGCGCTTCACGACGCACATGACGCGGCTGCTGCTCCCGATCCTGCAGCAGCGGCAGCCGGGCCTGATGCTGTTCGTCTCGAGCGCCGTCACCGAGCTGACCACCCCTTACGTGTCGCTGTACACGGGGGTCAAGGCCTTCATCGAGGCCTTTGCCGGCGTGCTGAATATCGAGATGACCTTCAGCGGCCAGGACGTCGAGATCATGTCCCTCGTCACGGGCACCGTCGCCACCGCCTCCTCCGGCAGGTCCGACGCCGACATCTCCTTCACGATGCCTAGCACACATACCTACGCCAAGGCCGTGCTCGACAAGGTCGGCGTCGGCAGGCCCAAGATCACTCCCTACATTGGCCACGCCGTCCAGCTCGGCATCTTCCACATGCTCCCCGGCTGGCTGCGCGTGCAAATACTGTCTCGCATCGTGAAGAAGACCGAGACCAAGGCTGCGAAAACCGAGTAAACCGAATCATCCATCCTAACAAGTCAATCGGGAAAATGCACAAGGCGTGAGGTGGGAAAGGGGCAAGGACAAACAAAACCACCCGCGGAATTGTGTCGCTCTATATACTATATCATGGGATAAGTCTATGTCTAGTTTTACGTCTCGCGCCCTTCACGCCGAGCGGCGTCGATCGGATATCATGCAAGAATGAAAGACAAATTGGGAATTGTCTGTGCTGCTTTCTCCTTTCTCTGCCATTTCTGGCATCCTTGGGCTATACACTGGTACCATCGCCATGTAGGTTTACGCTTGTTGCGTGAGGGCCAGAAACGAATGACTCTATGGCTTATCAAACATTAATCAAATCAAGTTTTGACATGAATTATTGAACTGGGCAAATGTGTTCTAGAGCCGATTCTGCATAGTCGCCCGATATCATACAGCCACTTCTCTGCGAGGCATTGAGATGAAACCCAACAGTGTATCTTCTACACCTGGGCTGTTCCGCTTTGGTCTCATAAGGTCTCATAAGGTCTCATATTCGAAGCACGCCAGCCTTTCCCTGCGCCATGAACCCTTCCAGCCTGCCGCCCATCGTACAAAGTCAGCGCTCCATCACATTCATACAATTGACACGAGAAGAAATAAGCCTCCGCTAAGACACTGGTGTTTAGAGGGCGTTGAGGCCGAACAGATAGCCCAATTCCCGCACACCGAGTCTGGACACCTCACGACCAGCCGTCTCGTCAAGGGCTGTTTCCACTAGGTCGCGTTTGCGCTCTTGCAGCTGCAGAATACGATCTTCCACTGTGAAGCCCGACGGGTCGACGACGGCCTTAGAGTCTCCTTCACCAATGAGAACTCGGTGGATGGTGACTTTTTTCGTTTGCCCGATCCGATAACACCGGTCCGCAGCTTGATACTC